GTGTGTGTGTGTGTGTGTGTGTGTGTGTGTGTGTGTGTGTGTGTGTGTGTGTGTGCGCGCGCACGCTTGCGTGTGTGTGTATGCTTTTTTTTCCTTTTTTGTGGTAAAAAGGGGGGTCCGGACCCCCTCGACCCACCCTCTGGATCCGCCCCTGAGGTTAGGATTATCAATCATTAATCATTAATGATATAAAAGTTGGGAACACTCCTAATGGGGTGTTAGCCCGTTTTAGCCTTAGAAATATGAATAGTTGGTCTATATGGTGTATAATCTAGAGTTGATATTGTCCTTAGTGGGTGCATGCATAATGTAATGCTTTACACTGGGAAGTCCTTGGGTCCTATTTCGCACATCTCCATGCAAAAATGGAAATGTGAAATGTTGTATTATCATTGATTACAAATTGATTACGTATAATTGATGATATGACTTAGATTAATCATTATGAATACATTTACACTTGATGTTTAATTAGCATTATTATTGTTGAGTAAATTAATGAATGAATTCCATTTTCCCTTCATTATATGCTGCTTTTTAGGAAGAAAAAGTAAGTTCAAAGTATATTTGTCAATGCGTGCATCTCAATTCATGTTACAAACTTTTATAATTTAGCACTTTTGTATTTATTTGCCCTATAATTCAAGTAATCGATGCCATGTCTTCTGTTCATTTCAAACTACACATGCTTAAAATCTCATGGACACATGAGAGGAATGTTATTATTATCGAGTACTTGCATGATTCTTATATATATACAGTTTTTACTGTATGCATTTTGTAAAGCGAACCCAGTCGGCAAGGCGTTACTATCTGAAGTGAGTCTTCGCACATAAACTTGTTTGGTTGATCTCCCATGCAAAGGACAGTTTCGTTTATCTGTATATCGTGTATGAGACTGCGAATGACAATCAGTCCCGGTCGTCTGCTGCTTCACGCAGGGCCGAGAAGACAGAAGTTCTCACCGAAGACCTGGTGACTACCGAGAAGCGAGTGAAGCTGCTCGAGCAGTCATGCGGCACCACGTGCAAGAAGCTGTCGCAGATGCTGAGCTATCACCAGGGCAGCGAGAAAGATCCAGAGAAACGTCTGGTAGGTTCGCATGGACACTATGGTTCGATGTGTAACCATAGTGCTGCTCCTTTCTGCAGTTGTTTACCAACAGTGTTCAGTGATGTACATCGATATACATAGACGCATGTCATTTTTGTCCTGGAACAGCTAATGGGGGATCATTGTTTTTATTATTTAAGTGCCATACCCATTTGCATATCACCACCTTGAGAAAACACATTTTTCCATAACCATTATGCGCGAAGTTGCCAAAATTGCCAGCATATTTGGCCTAAACTGAGTTGGATTCTATTTCAGACGTGTTGCACAAACCAGGAGTATACTACCCGCTCCGTGGGTAGAGGGAAACTGGTACTGTCAATACCCGCTAACCAATGAATGTTTGTTACACTTGTGCTGCGCTTGACATGTTTACAGAGAAAGCTTCCAGAGTGGCAGGTGTCCTGTCAGCTACAAGAAAACGGATCCCTACTGGCGGACGGTCTCGGACTGCTCGCGTGAGTTCATCTGCACACAGCCACATGCGCATAGAATAGTAGTAAACATCGAAAGTCTAATCGACCGACTGATCGGTCTCCGATTTGTGAATCAAAGCTTTTGAACTGCTGACATTCTATACACATTATTACAGTCTTATATTTACGTGTTTACGGCACAGTGTTACCAGGTGCTGTTCTTGTGTATTTTTACTTGTACGGTTCTCTCTGTTCATTTTCAGGAACATGTATCAGTTGTGTGGGGAAGGCTATTCTGGCTTAGCAAAAGAGAGAATGCTGGGAGAGATGGAGGTGGAAAGTCAAGTGCTTATGCCTTTCAGTGAGTTCCTGGAGGTGAGTGTGGTATTAACGTTATCGTGTGTTCGTATATCTTTCTATATAAAATCTGTTTATCGGTGATGAGATTGGTAATATATTCTTTGTTGTAAGTTCTTGTTTTATTGTGACAAAACTCGACACAAAAACTCTGTAAATTTTAAATCAACTTGTGATTTCTGTCCTGTTCAATGTATGTAGCAGTGTCTTGGGTTATCTCTGGAATGTGTTAGGTGAATCAATTTTGCCTTGTTTTTGATTTTAGGTTGATTTTCCAAACATTGCCAAGCTAAAGAAACACCTCAACAAGTTGACATTGGACATGGATGCAGTTAAAACTAGGTCTGTTGTTGAGATGTCTAGAGTTAATACATCACTACATGTTAATCTTTGTATTTAAAATTTTATGTCACCTCTCCTTTGATAGGAATCATATTATAGTTTATAGTCTATGCCAATAGTGTGTTATTTTTCACAGCGGTAATTGCTCATTTCTGACACTAAACAATAAGGAGTGTGGGTTTAGCAGCTTTAGCTGGATAGACTATACTAGTGCATTCACATATGCCATAAATATATTATCTGTAATATGATATCAAAAGTAAATAAACACATGCAAACAAACAAACCATAAAATCTTTATTGACTCCTGCAGATATCATATCATATATATGATATAGAGGATGTGACGTCATAGTATAAATATGTGTTTCATCTTTGACGCCGTCTTCCAAGGACAGCTTCTGTACATTTGATGTGCCACAGGTACCAGAGCACTGCACGACAGACGACGCAGATTGCCCCTAACAACATGGCGGCACATCAGCAGAAGGTTGACCAATTAAAGCTGGAGCAAGAAGAAGCTCAGGCTCGGGTTGAGCAAAGCAAGGTATGTGTATGGGTGCATGCATGCACAGGTAGGTGCACTCATATCTACCTGAATTTTTGTGGGTGGGTGTGTGCAGGCTTTAGCTACAATGCTATTTTCTGCAGTACACAGACGCACTTCTTTCCCTAGCAGTGATGTTCCACAAAAAATTGCCTTACGGCAAACATCTTCTGACAGCTAAGATGATAGGTGAGTTTGTTATACTATTTTTTATGGTGGTTAGAATGTCTGCAAGGTCACATATGTCAATTTCTTTATTTTTAACAGGATAACCTTGCAACAGAGCTGTACAAACTCTGCTCAAGGCAGGCTGAGTTTGGACGTCTTCTCGTTAAGGTACATACAGAATTTCGTTTAAGCACAAATGGTTGTTGCACTCTAATCCCCTATCTTTAGCTGTTGTTTTGTCACCATGTCTTACTTTGCATAACAGTTGTAAGCGATGAATTCATTCATGTGTTCATTCCCATTTCCTGTTGTCATACAGAGTGTCGAACTTCAACGTGAATACCACACCAGAGCTCTGAAAAGCTTGGAAGATCTCATGCCAAAACTACAACACTGGGAAGGTATGTAGCTTAGTGGAGCTCTGGCCCCTTCCGGGATGGCAGTGCAGCTCCTGTCTCCTAACAGGATGCGAGTGGTGTTCCCACCCTTGTTTAGGATGGCAGTGCAGCTCTGTCCCCTGCTATGTTGGGAGCATCCATTCCACTATGGGAGTGGTGTTCCCACCCTTTTTTATGATAGCAGCACAGATCCGTCCCCTTCCAGGATGGGAGTGGTGTTACCACCCCCTGTCAAGATAGAAATGGAGCTTCCTTCCTTTCCAAGATGATGTGTGTGTAGTTCAAGTGGTATCCTTATCCAAGGATGTTAGTTATTTTGTATATCTTCACTATTTCCCTCAGGAATGTTCCTCCAGAAGCCAGTATATGACGTACTGCTGGAGGATCACTTGAAGGCGACCAACAGAGAGATAGCGGAAGTGATAGAGGAGTGTGTGTGCGCCATACTGGACCTTGGCGTATCGGAGGAGGTATATAGTGACTTCTTTCCTAGCTTACAACTTGCCCAATGAAAGTACCCGGTGTTTTATGCTCGAAGGTTGGCAGAAGGGGCTATATGCGATTGACTTTTGTTTCGAAGTAACATTCCTAGAGAAATCTAGAAAAGGATTTATATGGAGATCTAAGGCAAGATATTACGGTAATTATTGAAACTATTTATTGTTGTGCCCCGTACATATTTTTTCTAACTGCCCGTGCAGACACTTGTCGAGTCATGTAACATGTGTCATGCTGAAGAACGTTCATTAAAATACGATAATTCATCCAGTGCAGCGGATGGCCAGCGGGCCATCTTCTCTGGGGCGACACGTTTAAATGGGAATTGCCGATTTCAGGGTCTCTTCAGAATCGCGGGTAGCGCGGCGAAGATCAAGAAGCTGCGTGCGGAGTTTGACAGCGGCACGCCCGACCTGACGGACTACGACATTCACTGTGTCTGTGGCGCCCTGAAGCTGTACCTGCGCATACTCCCCGAGCCACTGCTCACATTCACCCACTACGACGAATGGATGAACGCGAATAGGTAGCGTGTTGGATCGTGTACCTAACGTATGAAGCCCGGCTGGGCGAAAACGTGGAAGTGTTGGGCCAAGAGCAGGAATTCGAATGAGGCTATCGTAATGCGTTCGCTTTGCGGCGCTCATTGGTTAAGTTAAAATCACCATGCCTGAGTTATCAATCGCGAAGGATACACGCCCTTATATTTACTTGCAGTTAATACAGATCTTACAGTTGATACAGCATCAACCCACTGTAGTAAACTGGTTGAATGGGTCAGGTCATCAGATAGAAAATGCTGGTACAATTTATCGATCTCACTTAGATGCTAAGAAATTCCAAGCTAATTCGATACGTGCGTTATGTTTTAGGTTAGAGGATCCTGACAAGCGATTGCAAGCACTATGGACAGTCTGTAATAAACTACCAAGATGTAATTATAACAACTTTAAGTGAGTATTGACCTACAAAATATTACCAAATTTTTGTTGTTATCATGAAAGTAGTAAAAGATGTTAGGATTTCTTGGATGGGTAATTACATTTGGTAAAGGCTTGACTATTCACCTAGGTCCTTTATGTTATTGTATATACTTTCTGCTGCTACATTGTGGTATATCGAGTATCAGTAAATATGTTCATGTTTGTAGAGAGCTGGTACAGACACATTCTCTTGTATTTCAGATACCTAATCAAGTTCCTTGCCAAAGTAGCTGCAGAATCAGATCTTAACAAGATGACGCCAAGTAACATTGCTATCGTGTTTGGTCCCAATCTCATCTACGCCGACAACAACGATGGGTCCGTCTCTTATTGAAATGAACAAATAAATAAATATATACCATTGATACAAAACGACTGGATAACTCTTGCAATGTGGTTACAGCTTGTATTTTTGCCGTCGTGATAGACTGGAGTTGTTCAGGCCACTAATCTTACTTACTATATAATCTTACACCTTACTTTACTGTAGGATGAATGTCCATACGTCAGGGCAACAGAGCCTGATCATCGAGACATTCATCAGTCATGCAGATTGGTTCTTTCCTGGCGGTAAGTCTCCTTGCATTCTTATTTCTTGTACCATTATTTCCTCTGACTGTGCTGATGAATGTGTTTATGGCAAGTGAACATTATATGTTAGGATGGTATAGTCTCGATTTATGCTATTTATTACATGACCTGTGATAATTTTATCAATTTATTTGTAACTGTTCATTCTCAATCCATTTAATTTTCTAGGTTTCATAATCGTTTTTATTCTGTGACTCATTGATTGTCACCCCTTAGAATATACTGATTAACTGTCTGTGTTTGCGCCACAATGCTTTCTAAATTATAATCTTGTAATGTGTGTTAAAATGCAAGGTAAATCATGTGATAGTCAACAGTTATGGGGTTGAACCACATGGTGGAAACCGCAATTGTTTCTGTAGTACACTATTGTTTTGGAATCACAGTTTTAAATGGTGATTTTTTATTGAATGCAATAGTATTGATATGTTTTCTTACGTTATCCATACTGAGGTTAATGGAATGTGTGTGCTCGTTTTGACACTATTATCGATGCCATGGCACATGTGCCGTGTTAAGCTTGCTATAACGTGTGTGTATGTTGCATTCCATGCTATTTACTGCGTAGATGTCGAGTTCGGGGAGTATGTACCGCTACTCTCCCCCGTTAAGCGACAGTCCATCGTCGCGAGCATGGACTCCGCGTTGGCAGCAGCGGCCGGTGCTGCCGCCTCAATCGGATTCCCAGGCTGGCATCAGCCGCAGGATCACCATGGCAACGAGGATGCACCGTGTCAGCAGAAAGTAGTCGCGGGCAGCGGGAGCTCCAGCCCGGATCGCGACGTGCCTGACGTCGGGGTCGCGAACCCTGCGGGCCGATTCGAACACATCTACCCGAGACTGGACCTGCTTCACCAAGAACACCACGGAACGGCTCACAAGAGGGCAGCACCTCCCCCGCCGATCAAGGCGCGCGGCGCGGCCGCGTCGGAAGCGATCGGTCATTCGTCCGTCGCGGCGAAGTCCGAGATGCTCCCGGACGTCTGCAAGCCAGACAGCGAGCATGAGGATGCAGCAGCCGAACCCCACCCTCGCGCCGCACCACACCCACGTCACGACGCGGGGGTACCACACCCCCGTCACGACGCGGGGGTGGCCGAGACGCACCCCCACGCCGCGCCGCGTCACAACGCTGCGACGCAGCCGCACCCCCACCACGCTGCGGCGCATCACAACGCTGCGACGCAGCCGCAGCCGCACCCCCACCACGCTGCGCCACATCACGACGAGAGCGAGTCGCAGCTTCCCGTCGTGCCGCCGCGCCCGTCGCGCGCGCTCAGCCACTCGCAGGAGAACCTCGTCGACAAGCACGCGGCTGCGGCGGCGGCGGAGGATCGCGCGGGGGAGGCCGAAATCCTGGCCGTCGTCGGGGAATCGGCGAGGCTGCGACGCTCGGACAAGCGACACGAAGCGGACGGTGCTTACGCTGCGCGCGAGACTCTCTGCCGCACGGGTGTTGGCCTCTTTACTGTATAATGTGACGATGCGATGCGCAGTGGTCACGATGTCTTTTCTCTTTCCTAGGGCTGTACCGGAATCTAGACGACTGACTACTAAAACTTGGTTATTGCATGCTCTTGCTTTCTGTCATGATTCCGGTAGTTGTGTGTGATCTGTGGTGGTTGGCGTCTACAAAACTCCTCAAAATTTGATACGGTATTAACTTTAATGGAACATATTTAACAAGTCTTCTATTGTTAGAAGCTACTGTTCTAATTGTATCGGTTTTTATTTCTGTTATACTTACGTAGACATTCTGGGTCTCATAATAATGTGTCATCTGCTAATTAATGTTGTTATTTCCTTATTTATTTTTTGTTAAACCTTGCAAAGTCTAAACGAACTCAATTTTACTTAATATATACTTTTACTTCAATAATACCAATAAATAATTATATTTCATTACGAAGTTAAAATGTTAAAATGCAATTTGATTGTGATGAGGCAGGAAACTTTATCTGGTAAGAATATTTTACATGCACAAACATAGTATTTACATGTGTAAATATTAGCTTGTGTTAGGTGACAGTAAAAGTAAACGGTGACTAGCATTCATCAAGTATCTGTATAATACCTGAATCTTTTCTTTGGTTGTTTTGCAGATATCAAGTTTAGGGTAACTCCTGAGTCTGTTCGTGAAGCGAGGAAAGGTCCCGTAGTGCCATTAGAATCACCGCCTGTTGATGTCAAAGGTCACACCCGGCAACCTTCCCAGGATTCATTTGGAAATCCAGTAGAGAGGTTTGCCACTTCATCCACTTCTCTGCAGAACTCAATGTCGAGGGATTTCACGTATATATTGCAATCAAACTTTGCTTCAAGTGAATGGCAGATTTTCCCTCGAGCTTTGTATAATAGTGGCATGAGTAGATAATAATCTTGATTGTGTATCTGGTAAGAATATTTTACATGCACAAACATGTAGTAATTGTGATTTAATTGTAATTTAATTTGTAATATTAATTGTAAATATAGTGGATTGTGAAAGTGGTTTCTATCATGTAAATATTCCACAATTATATTCACTTAATGCAGCCCATTTCATTGTCAGTCAAGTTGCCAGTCTAAACTGTGGCAATATCCTATAGATGCAATTTTTAATATCCTATCACTTGGCACTAACATTGTAGATTAGAATAGTTGTGCAATTTAATGCTTGCCATATAATGGCTGATGCCATAAAATAGTGATTCTCGACTTTTTGCTCATAGCATCTTTTGATAATCTTTAAGTGGCTTGCTTGATGTTGGTTGATGTTGTTGCACGACTGTTCCTATATGCTTCCTGTCTCCACCTTTCTGGTGATGGATGTTTCTCACTTATACTCTTTGTAGCAGTAGTAATATGCACGAAGAGCCCTTCAGTATTAACCAGTCACAGCGGCCTATCAGCACCTGTGGGAGTTTACGTAAAGCTCCCCCTGTCGCCGCCAAACCGTCCGCGCTCACGATGAGGGCAGCACCTCCCATACCTCCGCGCACTGACAGCACTAATGGCATGTTTGCATGGAGCCTCGATCGTTGGCAGCGCCGCATGTACGCAGGGGTACGTAGCATGCCGCAACTAACACTGCGGGCGCTGCTTCTCTTGTCCAGCCAGCTCTGCATTAAATCCTCCCGTCCAGTGACGGCGTGCATTTGATCGCACAAACGTCGCACTCGGTTGGGAAGCCGTCGTTTCGTAGCGGCGGGGCGGGGAAGAAGACTTAAAAGAGGTGTGGAGGGTGGAAGATGCAGAGCCTGCTGGATCGGGGAAGCACCTCGCTTGACGTTGGCTTCCGGAGAAGCCATCCGGATGCTGCCTCCTGTCGCCGACCCGCTTCACGCATGTGCCGGCGACGTTATGTCTCACTGTCTGTTAATTCATCAGTGCCGCAAAAAGGCCGTCTGAGGAAGGACGAGCGAAAAAAGCACCTCCGCCTGTTCCGAATAGACCACAGCTTCCAGACAGGCAGAAGGTGAGGCAGAGATAAACCTAGAAGATGGCTGCATTCGAGCCTTGCAGCTCATTTGCATTCAAAATTTCCTTATCGATTCCTTACCGACAGACCGATACAGTTCAGGTTGACAGCATGTCGGGACAAATGCGAGGATGGTTTGTAATGTGTTGAGCGAAAAAGGCATTCGCTGTTGTGTCGGCAATGATCAGCAAAACGGATGCACCGTTGTTGACGAGTCTAAACGAAGATTTTATACGGGTGATATTTAAATGCAGATGATGCTAGTGCCAGTGCAAATGCAATTGCTAATGTAAAATGATAGGTTGCGTATACATGCATATAGTGTTGCCCCGTTTGTGGTCCTGTTCTTACGGCAATAACAAAGTGCTGTAGAACGTAGTACCGATTTTTTCAGGTCACACTGACACGTAGCCGTCTGTGTACGTCACGTAACTATGGCGACGGGAACTTCTTCTCCTATGAGAAAATCGTTATCAGACATTAAACGAATCGGTTCGAGATCGTCAAGTGTAAATCTACTTTTGCGCTGCATTGGTGGGGGCGTAGGCACGGAGGAATGTTGCTGTTGAGTTTCTTGCCCTGAGGCTGCCACGGGTGACTCCTCTTTCAGGACAAAAGCTCGCTGGAGCGGCATCAGCAGCCGTGCGCCGGCGGCGACGAGGGGGCCGAGATCTCCAACGTAAGCGACACGAAGCAGCGCCCCCTGCTGTTGTCTGAGCCGCCGGCGGGGCACTCGCAGCGGCCGTTCGTGCCGGCGCAGCCCGACCTGATCCAGTTCATAGATCAGGGCGTAGGACACGACAGACCACCGATTCCCGAGCGGTTATCACCGTCAGAGAGGCATGCACCACCTCCACCATCGACCTCTGCGGAGGAATCTCCTGATCACAGGTCACCGCCAGTGTGGAAATTGCAGCAGTTGGGCGGCCCTCCATCGCAAGCTCCTCCAGCCGTGCCACAGCAGTACCGACACCAATGAGCGCGATGGGCAGGTGCCGCCATCTGTTGGCAATAACTTGCAATGCTCGCAGATTGTTTGTATAGATTTTATAAGACTTGCGACGGCTGGCGTGCGCAAGCATTGTTGCCTGCTTGCTGTCTGATATATTATAGTAGCAAGTATAACATCTATCATGTTAAATTGTACACACAAATCATGAACAGCATAAGATTTATTGTACCTGTAACTATTTACACATGGTTGGAATGCCATGAGAATTTAGCATAGATCATTTACTGAAAAACCATTACACAAGTATAAATTAATAATGAATATTTTAACTATATTATGAATAATAAGTTAAAACTTTAAGAAATTGCGTTCTAATAGGTAATGATGAGCATTATAATGAAAATATTTTATGTTATAAAGGCATTAACTAACTAAAAGTCAGTCCAGTTTCTCTATTCACAGCATACAGATAACAAAATGAAATATTTAAGGGGCCTTAATATAATGACAAAGCTTTGGCACTTTTTTCACGATTATCATCTTCATGTTATGCTTCATTGTACAGAGCCGTATACAGTGTCTATGTATATTTATTCTTTTTTTGCCAAGATCGGTTATGCACTTATTCAATTGTCAGAATATAGCAGTTTATAGAGAATATATTGCATTCGATGATAAAGGCATTGAAATATGTATTGAGCCATGCATATTAGTTATAATTTTGAAACTCTTGCCAGTTGCTACAGGAAGTGTTGTAGCAGCCATGTTGTAGCTGCATTTCTCTCTCACACACACACACATATATATATCTATGTACGTAGGTCAGAGAACTTTAGTGTTACATAGTTCTGCCCGTGAGGTTGTGAGATAGGAAAATTTTCACATTGGCCGTAGATTTTCTAAGAATGTGAGCAAACGGTATTTGCGTTTGAAAAGATATATAGCTAGAAAGCAGCATCGGGTTTACGTTGCCAACAATTGTCTTACCTGAGTGTTTTTGTTTAATCTGTACCTGAAACACGTTTACCCGTTGCTAACGAATTGTTTATCGTTTTGTCGCTAACTCTTTCATCTAACAGTTTAATCGTCCTATTGAAACCGTACGTATTTGCATTATTTATACTGTCAAGGCAGCTAACTCTGAACATTTTAAGTCGTCCACACACGTCACTCTCAGTCGTGGACTAGGAAATAATCACATATCAATATATCATATTGGTTAACTTTTATCCCATGTGCAGCCGCTTGTGAAATGGCTCTATCTGCGTCGCATGTGTAGTTTTACGCTAACGGTTACGCTGTACTTGTGATAGGAACTAGTACCTTGTCATTGCTACGTTGCTAGCGAAGAGCAACTTTCTGCATCTGTGATGACGCGTGCTTGTAAGAGGCTCCTCCCCGAGTACTCGCCTTGTTCGAGTCGGTTCGTTCTGTTTGTTATCGAGTGACAAAGCATTTGTAATATATATAGCAGATGCACTGCAACTTGAGTGCAGCTGTCAGTGTGCAGTGCACACTGACGGCTGCACTGTGCAGCGAGAAGTGGCGTGAGGTTATTTGGTTTGCGAATGAAATTGTCATGCAATTAAAATTAGCATATCGCGGGAAAAAAACATGTTTACTCTTATGAAAACACTTTCAGCGTTTACTTGTTTTCGTATTACGTAACAAAATCCTTAGCTAGCCAAAGTCCTATATATAAATGAGTTAAAAGGTGCATCGAACTGCTCGCTACCCTGGGGTCGTCTGGCTAGGGATAGCCTCACGTTGATAACATCAGGAGTAGATCATAGAAGATAAAGATCTGATCTTCTATTATCTACTCCTGATAACATGCTGGCAGGAGTAATGTGATTGTCTTCTATCAGGAGTGTATAATAGGGATATCCCTATTATACACTCCTGCTTCTATCCATCCCGGAATTTCGACCCGTAGGTTGAGTCCATATGGTTGGATGGTGTTTAGATTGTGGATCTAGTAAGCTTCTCTTTTCTTTCTGATGCGGATCGTATGTTGCTGTTCAGGGGGGTCTGAGAATATTTTTTCAATGCCCCTGCACTGAAAGTCCGCTTATGTGTGATTGTCGCTGCTCGCTGCCTCCCCAAAGTCCTATATATATATAGAATATATATATATATATTATTAAATTTATTATATATATATATATATATATATATCGTAATCGCAATACGGACAAGTCTAGCGCAAATCCTCTACTCCCACTTCTCTCTCCTCCCCCTCTCTCTCCTCCCCCTCTCTCTTTTTCTCTCTCTCCCTATATATATATATAATATATATATTTATTTCTCTCTCATGCTACACCTCATTCACGCCCCTGCATGTGTGACATTCGACCACACATATATTGCCAGCAATACACGCGCGTGTACATTTTAATGCAGTAGGAAGAAAATAAGAGAGCCTATCGGGAGAAGCCTGCACAATAGTGCTTCATCTCGTTTATGAAGAGAGATTCTATGATATAGGCATTTATCACATAAGCCTTCTCGTTATTCTAACGAATAGTAGGACAAATACTTCGTTTTAGCGGATATAACGCATACGCGAACCGACAGTCAAATCTGCATGGGTTCGCGCGTGCAGTGTCCGAGATAAAGACGAGTATTATTATAGGCGCTGAAATGATACATTTCAATGCAGGAGCCGACTATGTTCAGATTCTTGGGAACCTTACAGGCTAGAGTTTCCTCTCATTTATAAAGTGAGGTCTCGTGATAGGCATTTATTTATCGAAGAAATCTACGCGCGGATACCATCTCTCTTGTAGTTTTAACAAATTACGATTCCTCTTTCCTCACATTCCTTCATATTCACACGTGCAACGCCCATATATTACGTCATGCGAACACATATATGCCGGCCCTCTTGCATTCGCATAGGCAAGCTAGTGGCCGTTCGTTCGTGTCTGCGTGCCGTCCGCATGCGCGCCTGTCTGTGTGCACGCGCGCCTGTACGCGTATGTGACTCGCGCGCGCGGGGTCAAGGAAAGCACATAAACGAACGAGCAATTAAGCATTATTTCACACAGCCTCACTTTCGCTATTTCAAAGCTCGATTACGCTATTTTTTTCCATGTACAAATAATAATGCGGAGAAGGTACGCGCATAAATGTAGGCCTACGTGTATCTTCATATTGCAAATATTTTGACTGTATTTGCGGGTTAGATGTAGGCAGGGCAATGAAATATGCAAGCACCAGGTGGCAAAACCTACATTGAGTGCACTTGTAATACTTTGCTTATTTACGCTTAGTCATTATATATATATATATATATATATATATATATATATATGCATATTTTATTTATATATACATGTTGTTTGTAATGTATGCGTTGATAATTGCACTCATATCAAAATATGACCATATGCAACACATATATATATATACTCTATTCCATAGAAATGAATTTATAGTACGTAAACTGAAAATTGGTTTATCATTTCTATGTACTATCCCTCTAAATTCGATCGCCATTGTTGCGTCTCTAAAAGACTACTGGGAGGCGTGGACGCCTATCCGCGTTCCTGTACATTCCGGTCACATAAATTATGTGACACGTACGTACGGACGTCATGCAGGCCTAAAATGACGTTCTGCGTGTTCGTAGCACTAGCAGGGTCTGGACTTCTAAGCGGGATTTATATAGATCGAATTACCTACTAAATTTGCTTGAATACACGTGATTCTAATTTCGCGTGGGGTTAGGGTTACATTTCTGCAAGGGAATTTACACCTGCGAACCTGAGATAACAAGACACGGCGGTGGAAATCACGTGACCGATTGGAGGTGTTTCAAAATGGCGACAGAATTAGCTTTCGGTAAGTGGGTTACGTCCCACTTTTGACTTTACATGAAGTCAGAAGAGAATATATGGTTTCTTTAGTGTGTTGCGCATAAAAAATAGTTAGTCTTGCTGTTATTATTTTTACTTATTTGATTCATTTGTTCTAGGTTCAGTTCCGCCGTTTTACCGCGAGGTTTACGATATAGTATGTCCAACACAAGAGAGTGAAATCGACAGAGATATGTTTATCCGGATGCTGCTAAAGTCAAACTTGCCCCGACAAACTCTTTCTGAGGTACTCGCTACAGTCTATAGTGCACCTATACTTTATATTCTCGGGTTATGAAATAACATATTATGTTGTAATTTACCGGGTTCATTTCATGTGGTTACTAACGTAAATCCAAGAAGAGCTGTAAAGTTGTAACTTGTATGTTTATTGTTTACTTTTCTGTCCTCAACTTATATTCAGCATTTGGTTGTTCACCGCTTAAGAATCCTTCGTCGTTGACAACTGCATGGTTTCCAATTAAAGACCTGGCCGAGGTCTATCAAATTTTAATGATTTCGGCCTTAAATCTCACTACTCCAAAAAAACTTATGGCCCCACTAACGCTCATAGGGTCTATGTCACCCAGGGTACTGCCGGAACGTACCCTGGTTACCGGAATGTACCCTGGTAACTATTTGATAGGGTTAGGAGTAGACGTAGGCGACTCCCTAGACTCGTTAGTGGAGTAGGCGAGGTACGGTCTGGTATATCGGACCGTACCCAGGGTACGTTCCGGCAGTACCCTGGGGGACATAGGCCCTCTCAGCGATAGTGATATGTACAACAAACATGTATTTAGTTTTGTTAGCAGTAAGGATAAGAATATTTTTGAGAGTCACCATGTTTTTAAAATCTATTATAAATACGTGGTCACATAATTTATCACAGATTTGGGACCATATTGACACCAAGCATGGCTTTTTGACAAGGAATGGCTTGTACAAAGCACTGGCACTGGCAGCACTAGCACAACAAGGCAAGACCATTAGTGAAAAGCTTTTGGAAAATTTCTCAACACAAGGTATGGAATAGCAGCCATTCATGTTATCATAAACGTATCTATATGATGAACATGACAGATCACCATAACAGCCCTTGCAGCAACGATGCTATTTCAGAATTTTTAGCTCATCCGACGTAGTCAGATGCAGCTTGTAGAGTCGCATGATTGTCCGTATGTCCGTGCGTGCGTCTGTGCGTGCGTCCGTCCGTCAACAGTCGGGCACAAATCTAAACGGCTCGACGTACGGATTCGAAAGTCGGGACGTAGGGGGTAATTCGAAAACGAGTTGGGATGTCGAAGCTGGGGGTCAAAGGTCAAAGGTCAAGAGGTGTAAAAGAAGGGGGAACATTCCCTCCTTAACTTAAGGTATCTAGGGAGGAAATGCAGAATTGCAGCACAAATCTAAACGGCTCGACCTAGGCTCGTGATAGTCGGTGTATAGCATCATGGTAGGAAAAGCCATCACTGTGCCGAAATTGGAGGTCACAGGGCAGATTTTAGACATTTTCTGAGGACATGGTCTGACGGAGCGATTGAAAAACTTTTTTGTTTCAGCGGTGACCTACCATTTTTATGGCTTTATTGAAAGGACCATGAAATGTGCTTTCCACTGACGTGTGAAGAGTAAGTGTCTGATAACCTTTTGACCCTCAAGAGGAGGGTTAAACATGGATTCCTGAACTGCCTCAATGATGTCACAGTGTTCTCATATTCATGGCACATCCATAATCTGGAAACCCAATATGCCTCGATAGCCAAACGGCTACAGCACAGGATTACGGCTCTAAGGTTCTTGGATCGAATCCCATCAGATTTTTTATTATTTACCTGTTTTCTGTATTTTTCTATCTTTATCCATTTAACTATTTCTTTCCAATTAAGGAAAATATTTACATGATTTATTTACATTTTTTTTTTAATAGGGTTAAGGTTAGGGTCACAATGCACCATAAAACAGGAGTTGTGGGCACGCGATTTGTATCAACCAATGGTATTTGGGAGGTATGCAGAAGGTTGCTGAAATGATGTGTACGCAACTGCATATATCTGCATATCTGTGCCTAACAAAGGTGTCACTACGCACGACTTAAATGTTACATTTAGAACCGTGGCAACAGACCTCAGATGAGCCAAGACGCTCTGCGGCTCTTGTTTTGATGTGTATTACAACTTTTCTTTTTGAAGACTGAATACAATATCCATATATATACACAATCGGTCTAAAGCGATTTTATATATGATGTAATCACTGCACCTTTATAAACTTAATAGAGCAGAGTGTTAATTGTGTTTATACGAAGTAATTAAACCCACCTTTGCAGCAAACTAGATTCTCACTAACTTTTAATTTCGCCAGACCCAATCAAACTTAGGATGAGTTTAGTGTTACTCGCTTAATTTAGTGCGATATTCAGTCAAGTCGAAGGTTCATAGATGACATGAAGATTGCAGTGGTACTCATTCTTGATGTCTCGCTATTCATTTTAGAATTGCCGATCCCGTCTCTTGGGGATCTCAATGCACTGAAAACTCTCAGCGTTCAAGTAAGACGCGAGAAAAACCCAACTGTCCTTGGTTATACATATCCGGAGCTCTGCGAGTTGGATTCTATTAGTGTGGAGTTGGCTGCAGAAAAGAAAGGTCTTGTGTTTAAGCACGTCGAGTATGAAGTCAAAAGCGAGGTATGTTATTATCAATATTATGTAAATGTATTATTATATCTTTATTTAAAGTAAGATCACTTACTGTATTGTCAGATATGTTAATTATTTTAATGCCAACAAGAACGTTAGGAGATAAGTTGAACCTAGCTGTAGGAAGGGTTTCACACGATGCTGACAAATTTTGTGTGATAACTTTAAAAAGATGCTTTGTAATTTCTGCTCTTAATTTTCATTTCAATGTTATTCATTGTGCAGTTGGTGTTATGTATGGAGCCTACCAGGCTTTCACTCTGTACTTGTGCTGTACAGTACAGAAAGTACACTACAGTATGGTACAATAAAGTACAGTGGTTATTTTTAATGATGATGGCATTATTATACACTCATTTTCGTTATGATTTTCAGAAGCACAAAACAACAGTGTTGAGGAGGTACAATGACTTCCTTGCATTTCACGAACTGCTGCTGGTGCGGTTTCCTTACAGAATGGTTCCTCGGCTACCCCCAAAACATTTCATGAATTGTAAGTGTACAGTATCTAGTTTGTAATTGTCAGATATTGAACCAGTTAGCAAACTAAAATACTGTATAAACTCCTATAGCTATATGTAAAGAAGATTTTGTAAGAGTGTGGTAGAATAGCGTGCACGGTAATGTGTTTGAATCATGGAAAGTAGGTAGGAACACTAATAATAATTTGATAACTTGATATCTGCTTGACAAACATATACACGTTCAACATACGTTCAAAATGTGAGATGTGGTCACCTATACTTTTCTAACTTGCACATTCACTACACTTGGCTGTCTTACCAACCAAGAAAGAGGTTGTTTTTTTAGTTATCCATCCACAGCTGCTGTTTGTGTGTTTTAGCGGACGATGCATTTCTTGAGGATAGGCGAAGAGCGCTGAAGCGATTCGTGATGCTGGTAGTCCGACATCCCGTACTGTGCAGCGACGTGCTCACTACGTTTTTCATTACCTTCAACGGTTCGGTAAGTAGTGCCGCGGCAACAGGTCTCTTAGGCCGTGGTTTCCTGCCTTTGCGTTTTGATGCACATTTTTCAATTGCAAGGTATTGGGTATATATGATGTGTTAGGTAACGTGTGATCACGGCAGTCCTATGTTAGGGCAGCATTATCAAGCCTCTGTGGTTAACAAAGTCACACCCTCAACTATTTTACTATTTATATATATGTATATGTTATTTACATTTCAGGATGTACAGTATAAAATTAAAGAACAGTATAGGAATATACCAGATGAATTTGTGACAAGCCAATTGGCGGGTCGAACGAAGGTAAGTTATATGAAAATTATGAGAAAGAGGAAGAGTAAGAGTAGAATGGATTGGAGAGAGAAAGGGGAGGAGAGATTGAACAATAGATATATATTTATAGAGAGAGAGAGAGAAAGAAAGAAAAAGAAAGCGATACATAGGCATCAATTTTCCATAAAACACAAGCGACAGTTACCCTGCGATTCTGTAGGTCGAAACTAAATTCGCGACTTCACCCGACATCACGCTCCAAACATCTTCTCTCGGAGATGCCTACCGAATAACTCGTGATCGTATCGCCTGTGCTCTGTAATGTAATGCTGCGTCTATGTTTGTGTGCGTACGCAGGAGCTCGTGCTAGGGAACACGCAGATGGAATACAGCAACGCTCGCGAGCAGATCCGTCTGCTCAGACAGGCTGTCTGCAGGATGAAGGACATCGCGCAGCGCATGGCCGAACGCTCGGCGCGGCACGCCAACGATCTCTCGATGTTCGGCAACGAACTAAGGTAGGTGGGGCCAGGCGTTAAAGCGAGGGTGCGGTGAGCACGTCATTCTTCCGAAGTTTTCCTCAACGTCTGCTTCGTCGAACCGATTTTTAGCTCACCTTGACATCGTCAAGCTGAGCTATTGCCGTGGGTCGTCGTCCGTCGTACGTCCGTTCGTCCGTCAACATTTCGCTTCGGTCAACGATAACTCAGGAACTGTTTTACCCACATGTTTGAAATTGGGTATAGTTGTTACTGCTATGCTCGCATATGGAACGTCCTATTTTGGAGCACGCCAGTCGACGTACTTTCGACCCACGGCAATTTTTTGGCAAAAATGGGAATTGCCATTAATCAGTTCAGGTTCAACGGATTTTGCTCATTTTTGGTATGTGAATGAATAAGGGCTAGGGGTTTTGATTTTTTTTTTTAATTATGCAAATTAAGTAGGTTTATGCAATTTATGCAAAAAACGCAGATAACAAACAGTCTGTGGTGTCACACTCGTCTGATTCGTTTTACAAGATTTCATTGACAATATCTTTAATGCAAAATTGGTATTTCCTCTCCACCCTGCCGATAAAACGTCTATATTAGAGTAAAGATTTACAAAACATGTCGGAACGCAGCATAACCTATTTATTTCGAATGCCATCGCTACAAAGCGGGTATAGCGCCATCTACTGTCCCAAATTGTGATTCATTTTGGTTTATAAATTATTATTGCGATATACAGATGGCAACCGTGTGCTACCGCCTAGAAAAACTCATACGAAGTAAACACTTCCATGCAACCAATTTACCTTTGACAAAAGTTGTGTTATGGGCAGGGAAACACCATTGTCACGTGGTACATAGCAGCTACGTGGAATAAGCGTATCCTCTCAATCTTACACGTTACACATTGGGAGCTCCGCTTTTAGGCAGTGCATAAATCTGAATATTATAAAAACGTTATTTGTGGTGAGCTACAGTGTCATTGACACTTTCATTCGATCTGCTGTGCTGCTATTAATTTTGAGTCCTGCTTCATGGAACTGTTTGCATTGGGGCGTGTTTCCCTTGACTTTGCCCGTGGGTGTGTCGTTCCAATGAGTAAGAGCTGTGACTATGACGTGAACTAAGGACACTGATAAGACTATATGGGACTTATTCATTTGTCACGATTGACTGGCAGCTCTAGCCGATCGTCGATGCGACGCGTCGTCGCTAAGTTTAGTAGGGGCCGTACGCCGTTAGGTAGCACAGCTGTCGGCACAGGCGGCGATTGACGGGCGGTCGCGTTCACGTTGCAGCTCGCTGAGCAGCGACACGTCGGCCGTATCTCGCTGGGCGTGTGGCAACATAGACAACCTGACGAGTCTGCGACGCTCGTTCCGACATCTGCCGAAGGAGTTCTCGGCGCTGACGGAGAAGCTCAACCAGCAGGCGATCAGAGAGGAGGAGGGCGTCGTCGAGAAGCTGAACCTCTTCAAGGACCTGCTGTCGGCGTACAAGGTGCGAGGCCGCCGTCGAGCCGAGAGAATTCATGCGCCTTAGCATTCACGATCACGAACTATAGCTAGTTTTTCGTTCTGTGTTGTCCTGGTACTGTCGACGATTCTCTTGTGGTTTTACTTTGTGTTGATTGATTTATTAATAGATTTGCTTATTAATACTTGAATTGATTGATTTATTGAATAACTGATAGAGGTTTCTTGATTTATTGATTAATTTATTGGTGCATAAATAAATGTATATATAAATTGATTTATTTACTTATCGAGTGATTGATAAGTGAATATAAAGTCCAGTTTTTTGCGGTCAGGACCTGTGTGAGCGGCTAGAGAAAGGCGTGATGAATGATCACCAGCGAGCAATCGCGAAGCTTGGCAGTTACAAGAAACAAGTGATGAAGTCGACCATTAAAGGAGCCGAGGTAATAGGCAGCAGCTGCCTATATGTGCCACGACTATTTCGTTTGTCTCTACTGTGCTTTAGGCATATGATGTACATAGCCAATGACATTGCTGTAAAATTTACCTTGAGATAGTATAAGTATGTGCTGAGCTAGAGGCTACGTGAGCTTGATAACAAGTTGAGTGCAGTGTGTGTCGTAGTAACACGGAAGGCTGTTTCATTTGAAGGGTGGAGACATGGATCGATTGGAGTCGAAAATCATTGAGCAAGAGTCGGAGATAAGCAGTATAGAGAACAGGAACTACTTTTCATTGCACTGCGTGCATATGGAGACTCAGCTTGCCCACGCCAACGTGGAAATTCTTTCCAACCTCATTCACACAATGGTCAGCGTACAGATACGTGGGCATAGTGAGGTAAATTCAAATTGCTGGCGTTTTTAGTTTTCTACTTTCTTCTTAATCAACCTCCCCGGGTCTCGTGCTAGACGTGAACCTTCGAGGGATTGAAGTGATCAGCTTTCCTACTTCATTCTTGATTGCTTTATTAACAATACATTCAATCTGGCAAAAACTTGGTGCTTCTTGTCAATTCATCGTGTGCTGTCGTGTTTAACGCTCCCCCCATCGATATCTAGGATCGTGAATGTAGCGTTTGTGAAACATATATGAGACCGTCTAATTTTGACGCCGTCGTGTTATTAGCTGGCCCAGCTGTGGGAGCAAGTGAGGCCCATGGTGGAAAACATGCTGCCGCTGTCACGGCCGGGATCCCCGACGTCGCCCCTTCCCTCCCCTACGGGCGACGCCAACGGGAGGATGCCGTAACATCAGGTGCTGCACTGCAACGCGAGTTGCATGCAGATTGATAGCAGACCATCTATAGGCAGGCTCAGGCTCAGCAACGCCACCCCACTATCTGCTGGTAACCATCATGCAGGAGTATTTGATCAAATGGCGACCAGTCGCTTTGCGATCGCCCACCTAAATGATAGGAAACTCCGAAATGGAGGAGGTTATAGTGATGCGAAGGCTTCCCTGCAGCTTCTCACATGCCAGACCGGCATCAGTGAGTCCAGTGTAATAACACCAATGTGTTACCATGTATAGATCTTTATGTATGTGTGCTGTGTACATATATAGATACATATCAGGAGTAGATAAAGGGAAGGAGTGTGACTCCAATAAACAAGGGAAATTCGTCATTTACTAGCCTTATAATACCTACGATTTACTACGCGTAACTCATCCAACTTGAGCTCAAATCGGACACAGTACATTCGCCATCCATCGTACCAAATCGTTCCTAATTAGACACTCGCATCCGGAAATACAGACTAAAACATACGAACACGATTCTCCAATCTTTGTCCATCTAATCCAACCGTAGCAATCGCCTATGATTCAAACAAAAGGCAAGCTACTAACCACACTGTCCACCGGCTGCCGTTCACGCGAGGCGCGCTGTGGCCTAGCAGGTGATTAGGCATCAACGCAACACTCGGCGAGATAACCTTTGACCCGGTAGACAGCTACAATGTATGCCTGTATGTCAATCCGGAATGCCGGCCGCACGACCGCACGCCAACCGCTATCAGCAGCAGTCGGATTGAATTTCCCTTGCGAGCCACAGCGCCTCGCCGTGAACGCAAGCCGTGGACAGTGTGGTTAGTAGCTGCCTTTTGTTTGAATCATAGGCGATTGCTCGGTTGATTAATGAGCAAAGATTGGAGAATCGTGTCGTATGTTTTAGTCCTGTATTCCGGATTGCCGAGTGTCTAATTGAGGAAACGATTTGGTACGATGATGGCGAATGTACTGTGTCCATTTGAGCTAGTTGGATGAGTTACGTCGGTATGAAATTCGTAGGTATTATAAGGCTAGTAAATGACGAATTTCCCTTGTTTATTGGAGTCACACTCCTTCCCTTTATCTACTCCTGATACATATGTTACTATTTTGTTGATATTTTGTGGAGGATGTTACTTCTTATGAATCACTGAAGACCAACTGCCTTATGTAGAGATCCAGGTATGTATAGGTTTTTCGCAATATATTTTTACATCGTATCGCAATAATCTTGTGCGGGTTGGTGCGGTGTCCATATGCCGGCGTTGAGCTGTAACGCCACCAATGGTTATTGATTGCTGGTGTCATGCAATTATATGAGGCAGGTCATTAGCTGGCTTGCAAGATAACACTACAGTACATTAATCTAAACAGCTGTAGCTGAAATTGTATAGGCAGAAGACTTACAATGCTCCCAAGTACATGAACACCAGGCAGTTTTTCAGGTTGTCATCAAGCTATAAAAACTAAGACGATCTAATTGAAATATTCTGTGATCAGTACTGCTGTGTATAAAAATAAAAACTGCATTTTAAACGTATACATCAAAAAACTATTAGCTATGCAAAAGACTAGACAACCTTAGATATTCAGTGGACCAATTCATGCTAACTAAAGTTCTTTAGTTGTATTAGTTTGAAAGATAATTATCATAGAATGAGTGTGTCTTGAAAGATTCTTGAACGTTTATGCTGTATTGTATTGTTTTTGTATATGTAAAAAAAATGAACATGGATGGAAAAAATATATTTGTCTGCTGCAGAGCATGAGACATGAAAATGGCTGTGATGAAGCATGCGTGACATTCGTTAGTAGTTGACTCTGCTTGCATGGTCCTTGTATCAAAAATGGAACGTGTTTAAGTGTTCCATCCATTCCAGGACGGATTTATTTGAGGTACGTGAGCCATGCAATATTCATAGGTATATGGTTTTTTCTGTTGGATTCTACTGTGATGACATCAAATCTAGATTGATAAACAAGTTAGAGCTTAAAATGTTATTTTTCTGGAAGTAATTTGTATATAATGGACTTTATAGTATATCCAGTGTTATGAAATATGAAATTTGGGTACCTCGTAAATAGTTTGTAATGATAGTACCATATAATTAACATTTTATGACAATGAATGTGTTTAATTCACTATATGACATAAAAGTTTGGAAATACCTCGATTAAAAATGCGAAATGGTAAACCACAATAGAATTATATTAACTATAAACATTGTTTCGGTTGTTTTTATAGTAGATCATGTTTTCTGAAATGAAATAAATTGGCGGATTGTTACAAAATATTGTTTTGCCCATCACCGATGTTCTGTATACATTTGTATCCTCCTGTCTAAGCACGTCACTCTTGGTCCCTGCCGTGACCTAAGTGACAAATTCGTGCAAAAATAATATCAGAAGTGAATAAAAAAAGGACCTAATAATATAAAACAATTTAATTAATTCGCTCACCTCAACTGCCCAGTCTCATATAAGGTTTACCCTACTGACATGTGGAGATTCATACACAATTTTCATCTGCAATTCACCCATCATATTGAGAAGCCCTTTCCGGCCTGACTGACTGACTGACTGACTGCCTTCCTGACAATAACCTGATAATATTATATACTATCAAGAGTACATAATAGAGACCTCTATATGAACCCTCATGCAGTCTTCACCCTCACCAAACTTGTCTGAGTGTCTGGAGCATGCTGACATCGACATTTTCCCAAACATCCGCACCCTGTTGAGGGTTGGTTGTACTCTACCTGTTGGAAGTTGCGAGGCAGAGCGCTCTTTCTCCTATCTACCCAACAGGATGGGGGAGGATCGACTGTCTGGTCTCACAGTGATGAACAGGAACCACAACATGTATATTGACTATGAACGAATCTGCCAAATGTTTATAGAACGGAACAAACGGAAGATGTTTTCCAGTTGCATACTCTACCAGTAAGCTGCCATCAGTGTCACTGTGCCTGAAATCTCGTCACCCGTAACTGAATTCTAACTACGTACTCCACTATCAATGTCACCCTGGTTGAAATCAGCAGTGTTAAACCGTGTCATACATAGAACAATCGTGTTCTACAGTAGCTGATCATAAGCTTGTTATGTTACAAATGACAACTGCCAAAAATCATATCTACTCATATGTGTACCATGTGGTTTGTATAAGCTGCATACTCTAACAGTAAACTGCTCTCAATGTGACTATTATGTGGAATTAGCAGTGTTAAACCGCGTCATATGGATAACAATCATTTTGTTTAGCTTCTAATGTTACAAATGCCAAAATGTTTATTGACTGAAATTTGTTCTAGTAGTATCCTCAGTGTCCCACTGTCAACACATTCGTCATGACCGAGTTATGAGCATATAGATGAGATTTTCCTCAAATTGGCAGGTTTCAGACGCTGTATTTTGCTCCTAGGGTAATTTTTGAAATCAGTGTAAACTCATTAAGAATTTTTCTTATTTTATATATTAAACTCAACATGAGCTAAATTTATGTTCAGATCGTTATAGAATGTACCAGAGAGCATCCATTTCTCAAAATTTTCCAAACATGTTTATACAAAAAATCATACAAACACGCACGCGCGCCCGTGTGCTCACGACCACGTCCGCTACCCGACTCCCCCCACTACCTTACTATATTTGAATTCTAGCCGTTACCATGCCCATAAATCCATACTAATCCCATAAATGTCACTGTAGCAGGTAGCAAGTGTGCTGTGTTACGTTGTTCTGTAATGTGTGTGCGCGCGTGCGTGTGCAGTTGCGTGTGCGTTTTCTCTTGAATGTATGTCTGCGCTTGCGTGTGTGCATGATTCCCACAGTAGTTTAATCCCGGCGCACACGTGAGTAATTTTACCCCTAATTTTACACATAAGTAAATGGATGCATGCGTCAAAATACTCACGTGTGTACCGGGCTTTGAGAGTAAACGATACAATGCGTAAATAACTAGAAATATTTAGGGGGGCTATTCGATTACCACGAAACGCTAGCGAAAGGTTAAAGGAAAACTCGGCATGTCTAGCATTTTTATATTTAATTCGTAGGTCCAATTCCTGGCCATATTATCCGATAGCAGTCAATTTTTTTTTTATACCGAATACTACTAGCGTACATAACTAATGTGTTCCCGTGTCCCGTTCAATCTTTGGTAATTGTTTAGCTACATGTTTTATTTATATGTGTTGTATATAATAATAATTATAATATATAAATAATTTATATAATTAATTAAATATTATTAATTAACATAATTATATAAGTAAACAATTAACCAATATAGGGGCGTAGCTATAACTAATTTGGTCTGGGGGAAGCCACGCGTGGTTTGTGTTCTGGGCAGTTGACCGTGGGGAAGTCGCAACTAACTAATTATGTACGTACCTATAGCTATGTCCACGCACATTTCAGACATTTCAGTGTCGGGGGCAACTGCCCTCCCCCCAGCACGACCCTGATCAACTAGCCGAACAGTAACCGATGCTTGGCTGTGCTGTGGGATACTAACGTACACCTATACACATTATGACGTAATGCTGTAAATGTGAATAGTGTACGAATGGCGGAACTACAATAATATATACGGCACATATACTGCCTAGAGAAAACTCATGCAACGTGGGGTCACCTGCATATCAAATATACTTAGTTAGCAACTTATGTATACATATAAAACAACTTTATTATATGATCATGTATATACATATTATACAAATTATATCAGGAGTAGATAATAGAAGATAATAGAATCTTCTATTATCTACTCCTGATTATATTATATTATATTATAGAATTCAAATACAAATACATGTACTAAAATACATAATTATTATACATTAAATATACATCTATTTTTTCTTTTTATCTATATTTAAATAAATAACGGCGCGACATCGAATAATAAATTATAGAATATTTTTATATATGAATGTTCATGGTTCTTGCAAGTGTGGCGGCGACACTGACGGCGACGACGCTGCTGATTATGATAAACGGAAGTGACGCATGTAGTGTTGGCGCACAAAGAGCGCTGCCATCTTGAACGCGTTGTACATGGAACCTGAAGACAGTGTCTCCAAATAATGACAGATTACAACGCTGTGGCACCGCCAACGACGACCAGTTACGATCCAAGTTCTATGTTTCAGGATGCTCTTCAGAGAGCGCGCATGGTAACTCTATTTAGAGTGTATTTCATTGTTCATTGTCGGCTGCGTATCCGCACCGGGAGGTTTTCGAACATCTCGTCCAGTTTTAATACGAACGTACCGAAAATAACTATGAAATTCGTTGAAACACCGCTTCGAAATTACCATGTAAAGTAACAGTTTCATTAGAACTGTCGGCATATTTAATGATTTCACAAATGTCAAGTTTTTTTAACATTTTCTTGTCTGTTTAATCAATTCAGATTGCAGCAAAAATTCACACTACCGACGATCAGCAAACTGCCCCAACCCAAGGAATTAAGCGACCACTAGAAGTAGAAGAGGATTCATCACGTATGTTGACTAACGGTGACTTAAGGAGAGTGGTATCCAGTAATATACATTCCAGGACTTCATGTTACGTGAAATTAACTTCGCAGTGGCTGGAGGTACGGTAGCCGTCGGTCGTTCAAGCCCCTTTTTTGGGTTAGGGTTAGGGTTAGGGTTAGGGTTATGGTTAGGGTTAGGGTTCTAGCTCATCTAAACTCTCAAATCGTGAATTTATTTCCCAAGGCGTTATTTCGAAATCTAGCGCCACCGCCGCCATCTTTGTCTCGTTAAGTATGAAAGCGAATGGACTCCCGTACCCGTAGCCTCGAGACATTAAGATACGGCTACCGTAACCGTAGCCACTGCCAATTAACTTCTTGAAACCCTTACCTTGGTAGTATTAGTAACTCTTAAGCTTGTAGTTGACGGTACTGATAGAGCAGAAGTGGAACATTACTTACCTACCTGTACTGTATCACGGTCATGAATTTCATACTATAGCCAGAGACAGTTTGCAAGGTTTTAGTTTTCAGAAAACGACTTTATTCACTTCCATGCATGTATCATGTATGGGGCGACGTAGCTCTAGTACTATAGCCCGCGTACAGTTGCCGCAGGGCTATAGAACATTTTATGCCAGGTTTCGTAGATGCACCTGTATCCCAATGTCTCCACGAAAAATGGCTAACAAAACGCAAAATGATCGGTCTTTTTAACACTTATTTATCTACATGGACATCTCACCTATCTTTTTGAACACTTTCCACAACTTTACACTGGTCATGTATTTATGCATTTATTCCTCAAAGTCTTAGCACTACTTCCAATTCTGTTTGAAATGCTGTTGTGTACACGCGTGACGTCGCCCGAAATGTAATAGGCTGCATTATAGCTGCCATGTGTTTTGCCTAGATATCCGGTGACGACACGCGTGCGCACGCCACATCATTTCAAACGGAATTGGAAGTAGTGCTAAGACTTTGAGGAATAAATGCATAAAAACATGGTGTAAAGTTGTGGAAAGTGTTCAAAAAGATAGGTGAGATGTCCATGTAGATAAATAAGTGTTAAAAAGACCGATCATTTTGCGTTTTGTGCGCCATTTTTCGTGGAGACATTGGGAGACAGGTGCAGCTACGGAACCTGGCATAAAATGCTAGGGGCGATGTAGACCATCCAGGCATCCTATTTCAATGTTGCATAAAGTCGAGTGAAGTCGGTTGTCAATAATTAATTTGTTCTGCCTTTGCATTGACGGTCGTTTTTGGTTGGGTTTCACAGATACATAGGTGGTTTCACAAACCAAAACTATGGTCAATCATGGTTAGTTTTTCATGGGTCATGGGTAAATTTTTCATGGTCATTAGGTTCATTTGTCATGGTCATAGGTTTTCAGACTGATGCATTTCTTACCGATTCTCTTGTTTGGTTTCTTAAAGTTGGAAGTGCAGATCCAAAGAGACTAGCCGCAGTAAACGACCGTAAGTAACTCCCGTCGCTTGGTAACTCCTGTGGAAACTGTACTACTATTCACATCTCCCCTATTAGCCCGACCAGGCTGTGTGACTAACGTCAATATACACAGCCTGACATCCATCCATTGGATAATCTTGTACCTCTACAAAAACTGCCGAACAATTACGTATATCTCAAATAAAATAATCATCTAAGCATTTCTGCCTTGTTTTGTATCAAGTATAACCTTCACCTTATAGTATTCCAGCGTTGTTATTAAAACTAATACCTCAGTTCGCTGTGCACAGTGTAAATTTCAAGAGCCGTACCTAAATTTCACTTTAACCGCCAACCACCATGTTTCCACTGCGCATGTGTTTCGATCGGCTCGCGGAAACCCCGAAACGACATGACATACCATAGCGTTGCAACTCGCGTTGGCGCGAGCATAAATAAGCATCATATACTCGTCATTGCCGATTTTAGTCGCACCGAACATAGCGGACATGGCAGCTGTCTGGTTGTTTTCATCCAATTCATCTCAGAAAATACGGCATAACTCGATAAATAAGTAGCGCCCAGTTACCGCGAGCAAGCTAGAGGTTTATAGATTCGTTTGAGCTCTTACATGTGACGCGAGCTGTGGCGATGTATTTGTGTTATTTGTTGTAGCAATTGTTGCACAGTTAGCAGCCAGACAGCAAGCCATGATGCAAGGAGTGGGACAACCCCGGCACTTGAATATGGGCGCCGTTTCTAATGATGAATTTGAAGTTCCAGACGGCATGGTCGGACTATGTGAGTGCATTTTTGTTCATATTTATGTCACTGCTGGGATATTCTTCATGTTACCCGGGCTAAACTATCAATCGCAAAGCCGATATTTTACGAAAACTGACTAATAACAATTAGTCAGGTCCCTTAGCTTCATGATTGTTACAGAGCTGACAAAAGCTCAATAAAATTCACGGGGATTATAGCTAAGACATGTGTTTGTATGTATCTACATGGTTCGCACAGTCCTTGAAAAGTCCTTGAATTTGAGGAGAGTCCTTGAATTTAATAAATGTTGATTTTGTGCTTGAAAAGTCCTTGAATTTTTAGAAAGAATCCTTGTCTGTAATAAAAAGAAATTTTGTACCATCAATAATGTACAAACCTCAATAAAAATTGCATTAAATGAGCTTAAAAAGCTATAGACACGATAGACAGTTAAATGATGATCACAAATTACAGTAATTAAGTCATTAAAATCAGTCAGTAAATCAATGTATGTTGTAGAAGTGACAGTGTTTAGAAGGGTTTATTAATGTGATCCAGGTATGTTTTAGAGGCGACAGTGATTAAGAATGGGGTTATTAAATTAAACCAGGTATGTTTTGTTCTGTGTATGAATTCCGATAAAATGTCATTGAATTTCCGATAAAATGTCCTTGAAAAGTCCTTGCAAAAATGTTCAGTTCTCCTGTATGAACCATGATCTAGATTTCTAGAAATGTAACTCAATTAGTTCGCGAGATACGAGAGTTAATACACTTTCATGCTGCCTATAGCGCAATAGCGTATGCGCGCGGGGAGGGGGGGTTAACAGCTGTATACAATGGGGGGCGGGCGCGGTTCAAACATTTAATCATCTGTAATTCACTTCTAATGAATATCTGCATTGGTCACCGCCTCTAATAATTATAGTACTGTCATAAGTTACAACTGTGCAAAGTTTGAGACTTTTGTCACTCCTGTAACGATTCGGCCCATATTTTGAACTAAGGGACCTGACTAAATGCCTGGATTTAAATATGGCGTGTTCTTTAAAGTGCTAGCTACTTTTGTGGCCTCTCTTCACGCATACACACATTTCGCTTGGTTTAACCTCGTGGGTAGTATTCCTGAAGCCTGGGCTCAACATTGAGCGACAATGGTAACTGCTTTTCCATTATGTCTGTGTTTGTGTACCGACTATTCCTATGTGTTGCATTTAAGCTGCCAAGCTTGCTATTTGTTTACTTTTAGCAATGGTAGCACATGAGGAATGTGAAGTTCCAGACAGTATGGTTGGATTGTGTAAGTGCATAAATGTTATGAGAAATTAGCCCACATGGCATATTCTGTTGCCATGTTCTATGTGTCGGGACCCTAAATACAAGTATCAATGCTGATCTGTTAATAGTTATCATTACATTCCTGCAAACGTGCCATTGTGGCAGGCTGAACTATACGAGTAATTTGTAGTGCTAACATTAAAAATGTTTAGGTAATTGTATTCTTTTATTCATGCAGTGATAGGAAGAGGAGGAGAACAAATAAACAGGCTTCAAGCAGAATCTGGAGCCAAAGTACAGATTGCACCAGGTGTGTTAAATTTTAACCTGACTGTTTCATTAATTGCAAAACACGCAAGTTGTTGAGTCTTTTGACCTGAACCCTGCTTTGTACAAGTAACTGAGCATTTCTGGCTTTAGTTGTTAAATAAACATTGCCTGCTGGCCTGTTCGTCCAGTTCTGTTACTACAATAATAAACCGGTTTCTTTTGTTTTCATGATGAAAACCTTGTTTATCATTTGCAGACAGTGGAGGCAAACCGACGCGATCATGCACCCTCACAGGCACTCCTGAAGCGATCGAGTATGTATGACGTCAGAGCTGTTTGATTTTATGTGAATATTAGCAGGTGTTCATAGATAAACTTTATGTATGTGGGTCGATTGATACAACCTTTCAAGATACGAGGTAGATAATGTGTCTGCTCACACTTATTTTACGTTGACAGGAAAGTTAAAGAACTGATAGACAGTATAGTCTCCAAAGGCAACGTTCAGCCACCAGGTTACGGAGGCGTAGGCATGGGTGGCCTTGGGGGCGGTGGCGGTGGCGGTGGCGGCGGCGGCATCGGCGGCCATGGAGGAGGTGCCAACGTCACTTCAGAGTTACCTATCCCAGCAAGCAAAGTTGGGCTTGTCATTGGAAAGGGTGGCGAAACTATCAAAAGTTTACAGGTAGGCGCTTGTTTCCCTTATGAACCGTTTATTAATATGACAGCATGTCATTTCTGTCGAAAATGTTACGTGTGTAGATGTTAGTTTTTAGCTCATCTGCCATAGTCAGATGCAGCTTGTAGAATCGCTTGTCCGTCCGTCCGTCCGTCCGTCCGGTCGGTCGTCCGTCAACAGTTGGGCACAAATCTTAACCGCTCGACGTACGGTCACGATATTCGGGTCGTTTTGGGGGATGCGTCAAAACGCAGTTGGGAATGTCGAAGCTGGGGTCAAGAGGTCAAAGAGTCAAGAAGGTGTAAAAGAAGGGGGAACATTCACAATCGCTTAACTTAAGGTATAGGGTGGAAATGCCAGACTTGCGCAGACAAAATCTAACCGGCTGACCCTAGGCTCGTCGATAGTCGAGAATGTAAGTAGCATGCATAAAGGTACGGAAATAGCCATCACTGCTGCCGAAATTGGAGGTCACCAGTCAAAAGGTCAGTGGCACAGGGCAGATTTTAGACATTTTCCTGTAAGACATGGTCTGAGCGGAGCGATTGAAAAAACTTTTTTGTTTCAAGGGGCGGTGACCTAGCATTTTTTATTGGGCTTATAATTCTGAACAGGACACATGAAATGTCCTACTCTGCTGACATGACGAAGAGTAAGTGTCGGATAACCTTTTGACTGCTCCAAGAGGAGGGATTAAACTGATTTGTTCACTGTGCAACAGAAGGACTGAACCTGGCTTTTGCTATTCATTAGAGCCCGCCGGGGACGGACCCCCATACCTGTGTCAATGTGAGGCTACAGTTGCAGCAGTTTAATTGCAAAAGGCAAATGTTTGTTGATACAGGTTTACGCTCCTTAAATCATCATGAAATCTATTCTAAAGCAGTCTGTCCTATAGCACCCCTGCCATTAGGCCTGAAAGGCTGAATGATCGAATCAGTGGATATGCTCTACCAGCGACAAAAAACACCAAGGCAGCCCATGGCTGGCACGCGCTTCTTTATGCATAATTGTTGGCCTGCCAACTGCTGGCAATGCCCTGTTATACTCACAGCTGAAGCAATCTTGCCTGAAATATACTTACTTGGATATTTAGGCCTGTAACCTACTGTACGATTTCAGAAACGATGCCATCTTTGACTAATTGATTAGCACTTGCACGGCGCGCATCCTCGCGGCAACTATAGGCGCTAGTTTAAATTAGATTTTATTCATCAATGTTAACTTTGTTTAAAAGAATAAAATAATAACTAGTACCAATATTATAATATATAATATTTACTTTTCATCTATGAAATCTTACAATATATAATGTAGCTTATGGCGCGTGCGTATCCATGTTACACAGTTTGTGCGAACATAAGCTGGTTAGACCATAGAAATATTAGAGACACTATATATTTATGATGTTCTATGAACTGTCACTCAGGGGCATATGGAAGAAAGCATTATTAAGGGGGCAGTATAAAGGCATCATCCGGCTGGGTTTTTAATTTTTTTAATAATAATTAAGAGAGAGAGACAAAGTCCATAAGATAATATAGAGAGAGAGTAGTAAAATTGAGACGGGGACAGGAAAAACGGTGATACGGTGTGTATGCGACGGAGAAACGGGGTACAAATTAGGTCGTGCCGAGATGTTGTGGCAAGGGGATGGGAGGTGGGAGGCAGGGAGGGAGGTGAAGGTAGGGGGAGGAGAATGGGAGGTAAGGGGGGAAGTGAGAGGGCAAGAGGAAGTGAAGTGGGAGGCAGGGGGAGGAGGTGGACGCAGTGGTGGGAGGGAGGGTGGAGAGAAGGACTCCGCAGCCCCCCTCTAATTAAACTTGGAGATCCATGGTTTTTTTTACCCTTCAATATGCTTGAAAGATCTTTATAAGTAGATAGAAAATAGATAGCTGTGAATCTAGTGACACACAATTCGAAAGTGAAAGGCAAAGTATCATTTAATAAAATAAACGCGAAAATCGCGATGGGGGGGAGATAGTGAGCGTGTCCTAACATGATGTGTACTGCAACTGCGTATGCTGCCATATCTTGCGGCCATAAGCAAATGTGTCACCGCTGACGCACAGACTGAAGTTTATAACCGTAGCAACAGAACGCGCCAGGATGAGCTCAGCCGCTCTGCGGCTCTTGTTATTTATTAATTCAAGATATGCATGTGATTTGATGTCTTTTTGTTTAAAGTGGAGAAACCAGAGAATGTTACATTTAGAAGGGTGTTCATGGATTTTTTTTAGGAAAAGGCTGGTGTCAAGATGGTCATGGTACAGGACGGACGATGGCCACGGCTCCTGAAAAGCCCCTCAGAATCATGGGTGATCAGCTGAAAGTCCAGCGGGCACGTGAAATGGTTCTGGACCTTCTTGCCTCTAAAGACATGGTAAGTGGTCAGCAGTTAGACTGCTTCAAAATATGCAGGTATAAATACCAGACAGTGAAACGCATGCATACTTAAAACATGCAGGTGCTCTACCGTGGTGCTTGTCTGAATTATCTCGGAAGTTATCGCAATTATCTCTCTCATGATCTCCCTAATCTGTCTGTATTTATGTATTGCAGGGAGGCGGGTTCGGAGGGGGAGGTGGTGGAGCGGAGGGCGGAGGGGGAGGTGGCGGAGGCGGAGGCGGAGAGTACGGTGCGGGTCCTACGCGGAGAGAAGTCACTGTTCCACAGTTTGCTGTCGGCGTAGTGATTGGAAAGGGAGGAGAAATGATCAAAAAGATACAGGCAGAAAGTGGAGCCCGTTTACAGTTCAAGCAAGGTGGGTACTGATTATGAGTCACACAAATAATCATTTTAATAACATTTAATAACGTTTTTAGCTCATCTGACATAGTCAGATGGCAGCTTGTAGAATCGCATGATCGTCGTCGTCGTCCGGTCCGTGCGTCAACAGTTGGGCACAAATCTTAACCGCTCGACGTACCGGTCACGATATTCGGGACGTGGGGGGTAATCCGAAAAACGATTTGGATGTCGAAGCTGGGGTCAAGGTCAAGAGGTGTAAAAGAAGGGGGAACATTCACTCCTTAACTTAAGGTATAGGGAGAAATGCCAAGAATTGCGGGGCACAAATCTAAACGGCTCGACCTAGGCTGCGTGATAGTCGGTGTATAGGCATCATGTAGGAAAGACCATCACTGTGGGCGAATTGGAGGTCACAGGTCAAAGGTCAATGTGGCACAGGCAGATTTTAGACATTTTCTGAGGACATGGTCTGACGGAGCGATTGAAACTTTTTTGTTTCAGCGCGGTGACCTAAGCATTTTTATGGCTTTATTGAAAGGACCATGAAATATGCTTTCCACTGACATGTGAAGAGTAAGTGTCGGATAACCTTTTGACCCTCAAAGAGGGGTTAAACATTGATTTTGTTGACTTTTAAGCAAAGGACTGAACTGCTTTTGCTATTATTAGAGCCCATACCTGTGTCAATGTGAGGCATACAGTTGCACAGTTTTAATTGCAAAGGCAAATGTTTTGTGAACAAGGTTTACCGCTCCTTAAATCATATGATTTTTTAAGCAGTCTGTCTATAGCACCCTGCGCTGCCTGAAGGCTGAATGATGAATCAGTGAATGCTCGGCATGAGGCAAAAACACAGGCAGCCATGGCTGGCACGCTTCTAATCATTAATTGTTGGCCTGCCAACCTGCAATGCACCTGTTAACTCACAGCTGAGCAAAATTATCGCTTGCCTGAATATACTTACTTGGATTTTAGCCTGTACCTACTGTAGATTTCAGGAACGATGCATCTTTGATTATTGATTACACTTGCACAGCGCATCTCGGCGGCAAACTATAGGCCTAGTTTAAATAAATTTTATTCTCATGTAATTTGTTAAACGAATAAATAATAACTAGTACCATATAATATATACATATTTACTTTTCATCTTGAATCTTAACATATATCATGTAGCTATGGCGGTGCGTATCCATTTACAGTTGTGCGAAACATAAGCTCTTACCAATAGAAATATTAGAGACACTATATATTATGATTTCTATGACTGTTACACTCAGGGGCATAGAAGAAAGCATTATTGAGGGGGCAGTAAAAGCATCATCCTGGGTTTTAATTATTTTTTTTTTATAATTAAGAGAGAGAGAGAGAGAGAGTAGGAAATTGAGACGGGGACAGGAAAACGGTGATACGGTGTGTATGCGAGCGGGAAACGGGGTTACAATTAGGTCGGTGCGAGATGTTTGTGCAAGGGATGGGAGGTGGGAGGCAGGGGGAGGGAGATGGGAGGTAAGGGGGAAGTGAGAGGCAAGAGGAGTGAAGTGGGAGGCAGGGGGAGGGAGGTGGGACGCAGTGGGGAGGGAGTGGGAGAGAAGGACTCCCGCCCCCTCTAATTAAACTTGGAGATCCATGCTCTATGTTGAAATCTTTTATAGATAGATAAAAATAGATAGCTGTGAATCTATGACACAAAATTCGAAGGAAAGGCAAGTATCATTTCATAAAATAAACCAAAATCGCATGGGGGGAGATAGTGAGCGTGTCCTAACAATGATGTGTACGCAACTGCGTATCTGCATATCTGCGCCTAACAAATGTGTCATGCTACCACGACTGAAATTGTACGTTCATAACCGTAGCAACAGACCCCAGATGAGCCCAGACGCTCTGCGGCTCTTGTTATAATTAAGTGTTCATCTTGCTGCTCAGGTCACTATGCTGTTTACTGCAAATGTAGACAAGTATTTTTTTTATAAATGCCATATATATGTAAATAGCATGTATGAGATCTTGTGTGTGTGTTGGTGTTGTATCACGTTGCACACGTGTGCTTGGTGTGTATTTACAGATGATGGTTCGTCGATGAATGGCGAGAGAGTGTGCATGGTGATGGGAAATCCCGAAGCTCTGAACAAAGCAGTAAACATGTTGCATGAGATTATACAGAGCGCTCAGGTATGGTTTTGTCTATCTCATCCATTGACATTGTTCATGTTTACCTTTGCACAGACATGCTATGGTTACCTTGCAAATGCTCTATCACTGTGCAGCCGTGTCGGGAAAGCCTCACATCGTAGATACATACATGCTTGGCTCGCTTGCAGGATAGACAAGGCGGTCCACGCGGCGGTCCAGGAGGTGGGCGAGGCCGTGGTCGCGGGGGCGATCGTTGGGGCGGCAACGACCGGGGTCCCGGCGGCTACGGTGGAAACTTCGGGGGCAGCTACGGCGGCGAACAGGATGAAGTGCGTTACCACGTCCCCGCAAACAAATGTGGGCTTGTCATTGGCAAAGGTGGGTGATACGCACACGCGCATTGTGGAGATGATTGTGATGGCCGCAGGTTCGTCATCGGCAAGGCAGGCGTGAGCTGTGTGTCTTTGAAATAAGTTTGAAAACCCTGCCAGTCCTGATTTCAAAAATTGTGTTTTCAACCGTATAGCTTGTGGTGAAATTTTAAAAAGTTGCCAGTCCCAGACATGCGATATTAAAAACAAAATCCACAGACTCTTCTTCGGCAAGTGGGAAGTTGTGTGAATGCACGTCCACGTGTGATTGTTATCGAGCCGGGCCTGCCAACGATGCAGATCGAGTGGTAATGAGTCGTACCACTTGGTTGACGACCGTCGTCCATTGCTAAACTTCCACCGCTGCGGTTCTGCTTCAGGAGGCGAGACGATAAGAAACATCAACCAGTTGACGGGTTGTCACGTAGAGCTGGACCGGCACCCGCCGCCCAACCCCAACGAGAAGGTGTTCCTGCTTCGCGGCGACCCCGAGCAGATACACCACGCGCAGACGCTCATCGCCGAAAAGTGTAGTCTGCCGCCGCCGGCCGGTCCCGGACAGGGCGCTCCAGGTGCGTAGGCTGTCGCATTGTCAGAGCGCGATGTTCCAGTGAGAGCAGTTTGATCGATCTCCCCCCCCTCTCGCTGCAACGAAACTAAGTCGTGCTTGATAAGCAGATCATTCTGATCGCTGTGTTGTTAGAGCGCAATGTATTAACGAGCGCAGTCTAGTGCACGCTGCAGTGGTGACGCGAAGTAGTGTCGTACTTCATGAGAGCGTTTTATTAAACTGATTACTTGCGTCAGGGGAAAAAATATAATTTATTTTTCGGGGGCTACTTTTCAAGCTCGCGTGCATGAAAATAGCATTCTAAAATTTGGTTTGCATTGAACTCTATGCAAATTTATGGGGGCTCTTTTTGGCATTTCGGGGGCTAAATCGCCCGAGCCCCCATGTATTTTTTTCACTGACCTGCGTAATGAATGCTAACGATTGCATTTGCTAACAGGACCTAATGGACCGGGTGGACCAGGAGGATATGGTGACGGAGGCCCACCTCAGCAAGCGGGTGTGCCGCAGGGTTACGCCCCACAAGGATGGGGCAATGCCTATCAGCAGTGGAACCCGCAGCCTACTGCTCAAGGTAAACAACCAACTGCTCACAGCTGCTGTGTCCTTTCCTAGTCCTAATCTATGTCCAAGACAGTCCTCGCCAAAAGACAAAATCCTTTACTGGACATTCGGTCCAGTAAAAAATAGATTTTTACCAGACCGAATGATATGTTACTCGACCAAAAAAATATTGAAACATTAAAACACATTCACATCTCTGTTGCTTTTCCTTTGTGGACATATCTAACATATATGCTTTCTTGCTCATCACCAGCTATGTCTGTTGACCCGTCCATGATAAAGCTGAAAAAGCTAGCATCGTTTATTTTTTCATCCATTTCGTGACGCGTACAATCAGCAATGCATTCGATAATGCCAGCTTTGTCATTAATGTAGGTTTCACCTATTTCTAGGCCTTTGGCCTTGTCCAATTGTGTGATCCAGGTATAATCAGTGATAGTAATATAAACTTCCCATGATAGTTCACACACACGTCGCATGTCATCATTTTCTTATCTTTTATCATATAACAGCCAATCTCTTCCTATCGCTTTCCCACACCATAGATTAATTTGGTACACGCGTATATAAGATAGCCATAGGCAGGGATATTAGGGTTAGACATAGTGTGTGGTACTCACGTACCCGTAGCCTCTGCGTAATTTGTTGATGTTATGTTACCTGTAACCTGACACACGGTCTGGTAAAGTCAAATTTCTTGTCGGACCCGTGCAAAAATCACAGGTTTTGTCCGACGGTCCGACGCTTTTGGCGAGGACTGCCAAGATGAGGTTTCTGCTGGCCGGTCGGGCCTTCTCCTCTAGCCATCATTCATTGACACTCGGCAGTCTAAACGCACAGCTATAACATAACAAAGCTGTTGTGGCTTTCCTTCCTATCTTGCACCTTTTCCTATTTTGTGTATGTACATAGTTTTAGAAAAAATATCGTAACAAAATGTAGCATGACCCCAGGTGATCCTGTTGTTGGAACTCCCGTCGGGGGAAGCGTGGTTGACTGTGTGCTTGCACTTGTTCCTTCACATGATTACCTTAGGTTAGGTACCTTATTAGGTTGCTGCAGCGACTACTACTACCTAAGGAGTTACATGTCTGGTCACTGATAGGCAGGACCAAGGCCACCAAACCTGGGTGTAATGTGGGCTACACTATTTTCTCTTCCAGGCAATGGGCAAGACCCGAATGCACAGGGATGGCAGCAGTACTATGCTCAGTATGATAGCGCACAGGGACCAAGGACGTCGCAAGCAGGTAATTGGGGAGAATTTGCCTGTCATGTGCGTACCTCGTTGTGTATCGTGCGTAGGCGGCAAATGGTGCCTCATATGTTTGTCTGTGAAAAAATTCAGCTCCATGCCATTGTGTGTGTCTTGGTGAAAGGTGGTGGTGTTACAATAAACAGCAATGATTATGGTACTAAAATTTTTCAACAAGAAGGGATGAAAAAAAGGAATGTACTAAATTGATAGTTTTTTGAAAAACATAAATTTGAATCGAAATGAAGAAGTGATAGGTGGCCATTTTTATCGCGAATGATCTCTATTGTGTTTCAGCTACGCACGAACCCGACATGTGTTCTTATGCCTGCCTTATCATGTTGCTTGCATTTCTTATTTATTTAGGACGTACACGATAGTTCAACCGCAGAATGACACAGACTTGTATGACGTGTGTGCATGCAAACGAGTTTTCCAGAGGTGTGCATTCCGGGGACTGGGCGTGGATCTGATCGAGTCTCGTCTCGTGTATGTGAAACTGCTTTCATTCGACGCTCACATTTCTGTTGCAGATGTTGGGAGTCGTGCTCCCGCTCAGGGTCAGCAAGCACAGCCGGACTATACTCTCGCATGGGCCGAATATTTCAAGAAACAGCAAGGTATTACGATATTCGCCCCCCCTCTACGTACAGCTTACTCAAGGCAGCACCTCACCTGTAACCAATGTAATGCAACTCCCCTTAAAGATCCCGCCCATCCACCCACGGGCTAGATGGGCCAGACCTCGCGTCCGCCAAAATCCCTGCCGAAATTGCACGGGTCGTCACCCTACGATAGAACTACACAGCACTTTCCGTTGCGCCCGGAGCGTGGTACGGTGATGTTGACGTCGAGGTCTGTTTCCATGGTTACAGAGGCGGCGCGAGGCGCTGGGTCTGCACAGGTTGGCGGTGCACAGGACTACAGCCAGGCGTGGAATGAGTTCTTCAAAGCCCAATGTGGGACTCGTCAGTCTTAACCGGATTTGACCATATTAAGTTCATAATTATCTTCTAGTGGACGCAAAGAAAGCATAAACCCGGTGACGAGCGGAATGGGCTTGGATTCTTACTGAAGACCCCCCTATACCGATTGTCTAAAGGATCTTGCTCAGTCTAGGCTGCCCAAATCACTTTTTTTTATCCAATTCAAATTCAATTTCAAATTCAATTTTAATCCACATTCGTGCCTACTGCACGCCTTTGAATCCATCATGTGTGGTTTTCCCCAAACTGGGCATTAGCACCGTTGTCTAATTTTTCTTCAGACTCAGAAGAAAGTCTCAGAAGTAGTCTTGTTTGATCTGTCTAACAAGTAAACGTTTACTTATGACAGTTGCAGTAGACAGATGTACAAAGGTGTACTGTAAGAATTTTGTAGGTGTGCAAAGTAGTACTCTAGTGGCTATTTGCCACTTGATCATTCTCACCACGTTATCAGAAATTGTAAACTTGTCGGTAATAATTAATGGTAAGGTGCATGCCATGAAAACGAAGATTGAAGTTGTCCGTTTCTTTGTGCGTGGGTAAGGCAAAGAACAAGTAATTACGTGTGCAAGGCATTCCTCCACTTGGAGTAAGGTGTTGCCTGATACCAGCACCCGACGTTCTGACGTCCGGCTTTGGAGTTTCCCGAATAACCCGAGGCTGGGTTTCGCAGGGCATCACTCTCACGTCTTTTTGCGTTGCAGGCCAGCAAGCGCAGAACCCTTCGGCAGCAGGTCAGCAGCAGCCGGCCGCGCCGCAGCAGCAACAGCAACAGCAGCAGGCGGGCCAGCCCGACTACAGCGCCGCGTGGGCCGAGTACTACCGGCAGCAAGGCTACTACGGCGCCCAGCAGGTAGGACGGGCCGAACGCCCCTCATTCGTTTCGCACTAACCTGTCTTCTTTTGTGGTTCCCAGCTGCGATCACCGATGCCGCGTCCCCGAGGGGGAGGGGGGTCGGCGGACGCGTCACGTGCGTCGTCGACGGGATGCGTCCATGTTGTAGGCTTTGGTTGTCTCGTCGTGTGAAGTGTGGGGCGTGGACAGACAGGTGGTGTGTTAATGTGGTGCGCGCTGTTTGTTCCAGGGGTAGAGCATGTAGGCGCACGTGCGGCTGCCTGACCCTGCGGCGGGATACCCCTGTACAGTGGTGTGACCTGGTGGCGCGTAGGCGGGAGCATTGATGGCCTCGTACGCCAGGCTGCCCGGTAGTAGGTAAAAAACAGGTGCTTGTGCTGATTTATCACGACTGATTTATCTTTGCAGAGCCTGATGACCGGCATTATGGTAGGTGATGTGTCAAACTAACCACGTACATTCTCTATTTCTTTGCAGGTGACCAAGGCATTCTAGTACAGATTTAGGGTCACACGGAACAATTAACGTCGTGACTTCGATTCTCTCCCTTGCCTGTGTTGTTAAATTGGCAAATAGATGCGCCTAGTGTAATTAAATCAAGTCGTGCGGCTAAGGAAAATCGTTAAATGTGTTTATCATACTAATACCCAGTCTGATAAAAATTGTGTGTTCTTTTTGTTTTTCCATTGTATAGGCGGCACCACAGTAAGATGATCATGAATCTTGTCGAAGATATCTGCGGCGATTGTACCGATGCGTTCTACCTTAGCAAAACCCTTATAATATGCTGACATTTCAGCATTCTGGCAGCCATCAAAATCCACACCGAAAAGTGTTTAAGCTATCTGATTGGGATAAGTAGTCAGTCAGCAAGGTAGTGGTGCCAGAGAAGTAAGTGTAGCTGCAAGGTTAAGCCAGTTTCTTAGTTGTAGTGAAGAGACGCAACTGGCCATCCGTGGATGGGGGGGCAGGGAAACATTATGACGTGGAGTTAAATGAATAGAAGCATCGTGGGATCAGAGGATAGTTATTTGTGTGTAAGATGGCGGTGTGACAGGGTTAGTGTTCACCCAGCCAGAGATTCGTCTCCATTTAAGTATAGTTATTGTTAAGTGGTGTGGAAAACTAAACTGCAATGTCACTGATTTTTTTTTAATGTTTATGCATATGTAACAAATTACATTGACCATGGGGTTTGCCTATAAAATTGATACTGTACAGATTTTCCTGTCTAATAGTAAATACGAGTCCAGACTATTATGAACCATGACGTGTCATTTTATGAATATGGAAGAGTTTCATTGTTTTTTATGTTGAATATGGTAATTAATATGATAAGAAATATGCTTTTATCGCTAAGTATGTGTGTGCCTCTTCCAGTTTATCACCCACTGCACACGTATTATAGTGTTTGTTGGTGTTATCTACGCTATTCACTACAACAATGTATGATCCATCTTATGTACTATTTGCTGTCGACGGTGTTATTAAAATTAATGGTGTTTACTAGTAAACTTTGTAGAGAGGTGTCGTATTTCTGTAGGTGTTAGTTTGAAATACTGCACAGTCGTTGAGTGGCTGGATTGCGTGAGCCCGTTGAGCAGTACCTGGCACACTGCGGACAATTGCTGCGCTGCCGAGCTGTCATTAGTCGGAACGACTAGGTGACAACACAGAATAAGATCAGTGGGAGCTGTAAGGTGCCACCCCTCTTTTTGAGACGATTTTACTTAAGTAGAGTAAAATTAATAGCAACTAAATTTGTATTGACAGCGAGAATGATTATTTACTTATATTACCCCTAACCCATCAGGCTCCTGCTGTCAGTGAGTGTACGTGAAAGATTTTTGTGATTGCATTGCAATTGTGCAAACAATTCGCGGGCTTGTATGAAAGCATAGGTTCAAAGAACCCCTCACTCACCTAGATTAATTAAGAATTTACGTATATATAATGTAACACCCATCGGCACTGTATTGTTAAGTAATTGCACACTTCAGTGATCCCTGTTGTGAAATAAACGTGACCACTGTGAAATGCTTGCTTTTCTTCATCATTGGTTTTGTGCATTGTCTTTTGCTTGATAATCTCAGCACCTCTCTTTCAGTGTCAACCACACCTTGGCAAGACTGGAAATGATGCTTGATATTTCGATGCTTGATTCACAATTTGAATATTGATGATATTAATTCAATTGACGACAATTTGCTTGGTGAAGAGTTGATATGCATAACATTGCTGTGCATGGGGGTGCACGCGGTATTTGAATACAGCTTTGCTTCCTCGTTGCTTGTTCAATGCCGATCCCCAACCTACCCACTTTCATTTATGGACAGGGAGATACCTGGGGGAGGGGGGGTGTAGAATGGCAGGATACGAACCACACACTGGCCATAGACTAGCTGTAATTACGTATATGTATATATTGTTTATGGTTCCCTCATTGTTTTAGATGGTTTATTTTTTTATTGCTCATACTATTACATCAGCCCCAATTAGTCACTAGCAGCTAGTTTGTAAATTTGAAACACTCTAAATGATTGATTGATTGATTGATTGATTGATTGATTGATTATTTGACTAAGGACATGCCCTCCCAGTCCCAAGTCCTCTATTCAATTGACACTGGTGAACAATATTTGGCATGCTTCGATTTGTCTTGCCAATCTATTTATCGTCATGATTGGTTCGTTCTTCTGTTGATATTTTCTAGGACATTGACGACTGAGCTTGCAGGTGAGAAGTAAGATTTGTTATTCAGTTCATGACATTTGTGGGGGACGTTTATGTGAATCTTTAACACGCAAGTAGAGAGAAATTCATAGTGGCCACACTATTGTAAACAGTTGCCGTTGTTTTTCCGCCCACATCCACGATATTTTCATCAGACTACAGGCAGGGTGACACCGTCTATAGTATTGATAGCTTGTGATTGTTGGGATTTGATTGTGTGTTTTATGGTCATTGAGGTCACCGCATATGGATCTGTCATTGATTGGTTCCCTGCGTATCTTGACGAGTTGATTAGATGAAGCATTTGATTTCTCCCGTGATGTAATGCAATTTTTGTGCATACGTGCCTCTGCTGCCACTTGTTTTAAGAATAGGTTATTTTATGTAGTCACGCTAGATGACTTGTGACTTGGACAGTGCTGTCAACCTCCATGGACTGATACATGTGTTGTGGGAGGGGGGAATTAACAAGCTGTTACTGCAATCGTTACTTCCTGTGTGCAATTCGTTTGTTCACAGATTCACGAATGCTTTCTGTGTTTTCACAATTGTAGCACAATTTTCGTTGCTTTGAACATGTTGTTGACTAGGTTCAGTCGTGATGGTGTTGGTTTGCCTTGTGTTGTTCTGTGTGCCATGCTGTCTTTGCACATTTGCAGGTCCCCACTCTTGGGAAGTTGAAATGTGAGTATCAATGCTAAATGATGTTTGCTCAGCAGTCGGTATCTTCAAGCTTCACATGAAGATATTGTCAATACATATGGGAGTGGGTGTTCTGCATAGTGTTATCATAATTCATTGATACTTGAAACATTTTTTTGATTCAGTTTCATTTTTTCAACTATGTTTTGCAAATGATTTTGTGATTTTAACCCGTTTTTGTGTGTCCTACAATACTCTGCAATGAATTGCATGTATTTATTTTCTCGTAAGTTTATACATGAACATGTATATGTATGGATATAATATATATATATACATATGCATATATGTATGTGTATATTTGTATATTATGCATTTAGGAAATCATGGATCAGTAATTGATGAACTGAAATTAATTGGGGGTGTGGTGAGATTTTGTTTTTAGACTGTCTTTGCAAACTCGAGATATTGTTCGTAAGGAGGTGGTCTTTACGGAAATATCACACTATCTATTAACCCGTTTGTGATTTACCATATTTCGCTATGATAATGTGCATTGGTCAAGGCTCTTCTGTTTGCAATTCGTTGCACTTCAACTACGTGATTCTACCCACGCGTTTGTTAACACGACAGCTTATGTGTTGCTGACTGAATAACGGGCACTTGTGTTTTACATGGACAGCTGACAATGCTCGAGCATGTAACATTTGTTGCCGTGTAACATTCCCTAAAGATAGTTACATGAGCGACTGTTTGTTATTTGCTGTGAATTAAGGCCACTGTAATTTGCCATTTGTTGTTGTTTTCTGACAATGGACGCCATGTTGGGATTTAAAGGAGGACGTGGGTGGGGGTTACTATGGCAAGTAATATTGAAATGTGGCTTATTTATTTTCAAGAAGATGCTTGTGGTGTTTTGGTTCCGTGCTTATATTTTATGTTGAACCTTGATGGTCTCGCTCTACTCGAATACTCGCTTGTATCATTCTGATTTGAGCTCAGCACCATTAAACCCTTGTTTGCATTATTAGTAGAGCCGAAGGGTAGGGGTTTTTTGCTAGTGATAATGCTGTCTATTGAAGATAGAACATTGAATGGTGAGTAAAACACCCGAGGCCATACTTTAGCTATATGTTTTGATGTGCATCTGAATCGGGTCGTGATACCATGCCAAACTTCGTTGTCCCGAGTTGCGCTGGAGTGCATTCGCGTCCCGTCCGAAGCTGGAAACTCGGGTGAGTTTTATCACACGAACACACGTCATAGATTTGTTTCGTTGTCGGCCTGCAGCCGTTGTTGTCTGAAATAAAGCGATTTATCCACGTGAACGTAAATCACGAGTTTGTGTTTTCACGAAATCAACTTTCCGGAGCGATGCAGGATTGCGCATCTCAGCGGCCCAACTTGTGTACAGCCTATAGATACCCATACATCGTACCTTATAGCCAAATGTGTATTAGTTTGGCCAATATCACTGCTGGTTACATTACAAACGAGCACTCTGAGAGCACAGACCTCCGCCAAGGCAGCTGAATTCTCTCACTGAACAATTTTATTAATTAATTAATTGGATCTGGATCACCACCAAAATGTAATCAATTCTAAGTTACCCCATTTCTGACCTATCCTGAAAATTTTATTAATTAATTGTATCCAGATCACCACCGAAATCTAATGAATTCTAAGTTAGCCCATTTCTGACCTATCTTGAAAATGTTATGACAATCCGTCCATAACTTTTCCAGTTAGGCTGTACACATTACAAACAACCCCACAAACCAACTAACACACGCGGGTGAAAACATAACCTCCTGCCAACCCCTTGGTGGAGGTGACAAGACTTGAAATGGGTTGTTGATATGTATGGACGTATCATTTACGTGCCGTAAATGTCATCCAGGAGTCGAGCGATGACATAAACATTTGTGCGGCCCAGATGTTTTGGATGCCAGATGAAACGGAGGTGTCAGCGGTGTAACCACGGCCACGGACTAAACATGGAAATAGAGTAAAACACACGTACTAATCACGGACGCACGTGGACAGCCCTGACAAAAAGTTCCTTATCACGAGCGTCCATGTTTACGAAATCACTGCATGATGATAGCATTGCCATGGTTCGCACAGTCCTTGAAAAGTCCTTGAATTTGAGGAATCCTTGAAAAGTACTTGAATTTGAGGAATCCTTGAAAAGTACTTGAATTTAGTAAATGTTGATTTTGTGCTTGAAAAGTCCTTAAATTTCATGAAAATGTCCTTGAATTTTTAGAAAGAATCCTTGCCTCTAATAAAAAGAAATTTTGTACCATCAATAATGTGAATTAACCTCAATAAAAATTGAGTTAAATGAGCTTAAAAAGCCATAGACACGATAGACAGTTAAATGATGATCACAAATTACAGTAAGTCAGTAAAATCAGACAGTAAATCAAGGAATGTTGTAGAAGTAACAGTGTTTAGAAGGGTTTATTAATGTGATCCAGGTAAGTTTTAGAGGTGACAGTGATTAAGAATGGTTATTAAATTAATCCAGGTATGTTTTGTTCTGTGTGAATTCCGATAAAAATTTCCTTGAAAAGTCCTTGAAAAAAATTTCAGTCCTGTATGAACCATGATTGCGTACGGCCGAGCATGCGTGCGGAAACTTCCGGTGCACTAGCTATAAATCTGTATCACACCTGCTTCGCCGGCAGCGGTTTGAAACTGTAAACAACTGATTTTTGGACTGCGGATTTCAATTAGACATTTCTTAGTAACCAGCAGTGCTATTGGACAAACTAATACGCGTTTGGCTATAAGGTAATGTACTTATTAACTACACAAGGTGCCAGTTACTCTAGCATTCGTCAACATTGCATAATCAATGGACCTATTATTCCTTTAAATGATATGAGTCATAGTCTGCACGTCTTCACACACCAACGCTGGCAGTGGTTAGCATTCTTTCGTTAATATTTTGTTGTGCAGTCTTAAAAAAAGTACGGTATTTCGCAACAGCGCACGCGACTTGCAAGTTTTTAGTAGTAAACCACGACCCGTGTTACACGAACAGCGCCAACACTATAGAAACGACTAGAAAGAAGAGTGCCAATCCGCACACGCGGCGTTGTCCTGTGGTCAAGGTCACTCGGAATCAATAGGGTTCTACCGCCCCATAAGATGCACCGGTGGACCAAGTTTGAAGTTTCTACCTCTTACGATTGCAAAGATATTGAGCGGACGCACGCACGCACGGACGCACACACCAAAAACAATATCTCTCCGGTACACTCCGTGCGGAGGATAATTAACTTGCGAGTATTTTTATACCATCCGAAACCATCACTATATTCTATAGAAAATAGTTGTATTCTCTTATTAATTATAATATTATAAATTTTCTATTCAATGTGCACAAAATTTATAAATAAATAATAATCCGGTAACCAATTGCAACCATTCTCATTCATTAGGCTAACACCATACTACAAGTTGCATACATACAATTGATCAGGGACGCAAACCTATAAATTTGGGGGGGGGTATTCCAGTACGATAGTCGACTCAACTCAAATAATTACGCTTTGTGCTTGGAGGTTGAACGCGATCTAAATAAACGTCGTGTACCTCGCAGGATAGCCTCCAAAATTAATGCTTTTCACGATGAAGTTATTTTTAGAACATTGTAATAAAACATTGCGAACAGCGGTGCGACTAGCGCGCTGGCTCTGCAGCTTCACAGCGCATTGTTTTTCGGACAGCGCTAGTCAACAATGGCTTCTAAGATATAATGCCTTCTAATTTTTCAAGTGTGTGCAGCCCCCGGCAGCAGTCGAGTGCATCTCCTCCTAGTTTTCGAACAAATAAAAAATACTTTTAGAGCATACCAGACTACTCTACATCATGAGCGATATTACAGATGCAAGCCCGGTGCGTGCGACGGAGGATAAAGCGGGTCAGAGTCCAGTATGTGCGAAGAACGGCATGTGTTGGAAAATTGACAATTCCCCACGAGCGAAGATGCCGCGTTCTCCGTTTAAGAGAATGAAAAGGGGTTCTCCGTTCAAAGTCGGAGCTCCTAGATGCGGCGCACTTCCACCATTAGACGTCGAAAAGCAGCGGCAATTAATGCGCGGACAATATGAATTTAAAGAGCAGCGAGTCGAGAGAAATCGCGCACAACTGCTCATGGAGAAGACCGTGTTGTTAGCACTGCAGCATTTCGAAGATGACTTCATCATGCAAAACGTTAAAGAGATGGGTGAGATCCAGAAAGAAATCCTGCAAGAAGAAATAGCTTTCACGCAAGAGACGGCAGCACATAGAAGGCGAGCACTGTTGGAAGCCAAGCAGGAAGGCCTATTGATCGCGCACCACTACGGGAATGAAATTTTTCGAGAAAACCGCCAGTCACGTGTCGGCCAAGCGAAGAAGATGTGTCAGAGGCAGCTCAGAGCAAGCAAAGCTCGCGAACGTGTGCAGTCGGCGAAGACAGACCGCATAGCCGACAAGCTCAGCAGAATAGCTCTGGCAAAAGAACAACGCGAGAAAAAATGCGAGATCATCCGCGTCAAGGCTGACGCACGTCTCCGCGAGGCAGAAGAAAGGCGCATGAAGCAGCAGCAAGAGAAATTGGAGAAGCTGAAAGAGCACAATAAGCATCTGTTGGAAGTGCGGAGACGCAAGGCACAAGTTTCTGCCTCCGAGCCTTCCGTGGACGATGCAATGAGCGAGTGACCAATGAGCCGTAATGTGACTAACCTGCGCCTCGATTGCATCTTATGTCAAACGTCGTCGAGAAAAAGCCCTTTAACCTATGTTAACTTTGTAACTGTTACACACGTATATAAGATGTGCAGATATATATTATAGAGAGGTATTGTCATTTGCATAACGTAGCATTTTGCACATTTTAGCTATGTACACACTAAGGCAAGTGGCAGACTGCTGAATGTAAAAATTTTCATAACAATTTTACAAGAAGCGAAATTGTGTACACATTGTCATTGTATGTTGGATTGCTAGACACTGATGAATTGCAATATTTATTTTTTAATGTGTACGATTTCATATGCAATACTACAGTGTAACTGATTTGTGAAAACTTGTATTATATTATATGTAAGCAAGTGACGCGCCTTGTAGTAATATCTGAATATTCGAATATTTGCAAGTGCAAGAAACATTGAATAACCACAATACAAAACGTATTTGAATAGACCAGAACTGAGCGTTATATATTTGTATATTTTAACATACTTTGAATACTCTCAGATGCCCGAACGTACATCGATTGTAACAAATCGTAAAGCATATATGCTGTCATCTATGTTTCACGAACACACGATCAGGGACAAGTTACGGGCGGGTTGTTCTTACAGCGCAGCTAAACGCTATCAATGTTAACCACATGGAGCGGTTTTGCGACACCTATAGTATAAGAATACTACACCAGTGATGTGCTAATACAGGCCACAGTTTATAACACGCTCGTGACCTAATTACTTGACGAACATTCGCGTTTCACAGCCGAGCACCTATAATCGCGACTGCCATGTGTCGCGAATGTTTCTTGTCCGCGGCGTAGTTCGGTCTGTAGTCGCGTGTATAAACATAACGCGGCGCGACGTTACACGTAACGAGCTAGGCTGCACGCGACGGGGACCTGCGACATTCTTGCGAGCGCGCTCGTCTCTGTGGCTGTCAGCGCCCCCGTACATTTACGGAGTTCAAGTCTATTTATTCGGTGATTAAAAATTAATTCGACTAATATGCTAATGGTTGACTTGATTACGTCGCGCCACCTGTTAGTATGGGCGGCATGTTTCCAGCAGGCATGTTTCGCTGTATACACATGTATACCCACTAACAAAGCCAGAAGCTGAATATATGATGCACATTTAATTGGGTAGACGGCAGATGCGTATGATTTCATTGCAAATCTGTAAATATGCATGCCATCAAGAGTACATAATAGAGATCTCTATTATGTACTCTTATGCCATATATCAACCTATGGCAAGTTTCCCAATATAGACAATTTCATTTAGCATTACTTGCTCAACTGCAAGGCCGCTATATGGAAAAAAAGAATAAGGATACCACGCTAAAAATCGACAATCATGAAATATATCAAGGCTATTAAACGCATCATAAACAGACAGTTATAAAACTAGTCACCAGCGTATAAATCAAATCTTTAAAATCTCAATTTTAACCTACTTCTACATAGTATAACAATATTTTGTACGTATAAAACTACTTCCTGCTACTTTGTATAACACTACATTATATACCACTGATGATTCCTGACAGTGCTAATCTTACTGCCAACTAAAAATTGCTCTTACTCTAATCCAAACAAAATACAACGTATTTACGTATTCGGGTAGCCGTTTGAGCACCATACGACGATACATACGATCTAAATGTAAATTTACTGCCTGCTGATAAAAACCATCAATAGCTTCTATACGTTCCATTCTATGTTATTTCATTCAAATCTCCTGTTTATGGAAGACTTCGGTGAAACGCGCCAAGCTATGCGAAGCTGTAGGACGTACACTGAGGCCACCAGGATGGCTGCACAATGCCAACGCCGTCAACTCTCAGATCGGCAGCGTCTACGTCACCGTGATCACAGTCACCGTCACTCAGGTACGCTTTCCCGCCTGCGTACCCTGCCCCCACGGTAGCCTCCGCACCCAGCTGCGTGAGGTCATCCGCTGACATGATCAGCTCACCGCCGACATCGTCTCCGTGCGTCGGCATCAGCGGCTGCAGAGGCACGCTTATGTAGCCGTCGACAATCGCCTCGACTTTGACCTTTGACTCGGACAAGGTCACGTCGTTGTGCAGCACGCCGCTCCAGTCGAACGAATCCTCGAATCTTTCATCCGGGATGATGCCGGACAAGCAAGGTGTGAAGCTGTCACAGGATATTTTATCATTGGGAGGGGACACCTCATCCCCTGATCTGTTGGTTGGGGCAGAAGGGCTAGTTCCATTTGAGGCAGCGATTCGTTTAATAGCGAGAGGCTGGGACGCGTTGTCTACCTTCCTCTTGTGTGCAGCAGCAGAACAACGATTGCCTTTGCCACGAGTTGTACATTTTTTAACTTCAGGCGGGGATAGATTTTCTATTCCCCACGACAGCTTCCTATTTAACTCGGGAGGAGGAGAAACCAGACGAGATTCGGTGTCACCAAAAAGGTCTCCATCGAGTACGGTGGGAGGAGAGAGGTTACCGCTGTCACATGAAAGCTTCTTGTTCAGTACAAGAGGGGGCGACGGGCTATTTCTATCCCATGGAAGCCTTGTGTTGAGATATGGTGAGAATCCATACAGGTATGCCTCTTCGTAATCCACGTGGGTCCCGTATTGTTTTTGAAATCGGGCTGAGTGGCTGAAGGAATCGTTTGCGCCCTTTTTTACGCTTTCCATAATTGGGCTGGCGCTCTTTTTCCTGCGTATCACGCCATTCTCGAGTACGTCCACGAACTGAGGGTTGAGTGTCCAGTAGCCACCTTTGCCAGGTCGGTTGTTCTCTCGCGGATAGCGGATGAAACAGCGATTCAGTGACAGGGTGTGACGCACAGAATTCTACAGAAAGAAAAGAATGCGTGCTCAATATTATTTTTTTTAAACAGCAGAAAATGCATTTTGCCGCGCGCTGGGTGCAACGATGCGAGATAATACGTGCGTTGATTGACTCACCTGCCACGTAGGATCAGCTGTCTTGTAGTAGATGAAGTTATCCATGATGAACTGATAGATTTCGGCGAGAAGGAGCTTCTGCTTGCCGACGCCCTGCGCAGACATTGCCATGAAGAGCAACTGCGCGTACGAGAAGGGAGGCTTCACCGACTTCTTCTTGAAGTCGTGTGTCACGTGCGGCATGGAGACGCGCTCCACGACGGAGAAGTACGGCTGCTCCACCCGCGGTTCCACGGCGGTCTCCTCTGAGGTAACGAAGGTCGTTGTGTCCGGATCATCGACGATTGCGGAAGACTTGCAGGGATTGATATTTGGCACTCCGGCGTCGCTGAAGCTCATGTTGTAAAGCCAGCTGAGGTTTGTGAGGCTGTCGTCCAGACTGGCTACCTCCGTCGTGCCGGCTTCGGTGTGACAGCGGTCTAACGCCGAGTTCGACCTCTTGCATGCGCGTCCGTATTCTGGAAGCATGCTAATAGTACAGAGAAACGTTGGTAAGATAAGACAAATTGTGTGTAAATAAAAAATACGTAAACGCACATGCTTTGGTTAGAGAATACGATAACGTAAAATATTTGAGACTCGCAAATTAAAAACTACGTATCTCAACCTATCCGCCTGCCTGCATGCCTCCTGCCAGCCTAAACCTGCCCTGCCTTGTTAAGTCTCTCTCATCTTCTCTCTCTCTCTCTCTCCTCTCGCGTCTCTCTTCTCTCATCTCTCTACTCTCTCCTCTCTCTTCTCTTCTCTCTCTCTCTCTCTCTCTCGGCTCTCTCCTCCTCTCTCTCTTCTCTCATCTCTCTCTCTCTCTCCTCTCTCTCTCTCTCTCTCTCTCTCTCTCTCTCCTCTCTCCTCTCCCTCTCTGCTCTCTCTCTCTCTGCTCTCTCTCTCTCTCTCGTCTTCTCTTCTCTCTCTCTCTCTCTCTCTCTCTCCTTCTCTCTCTCTCTCTCTCTCTCTCCTCTCTCTCTCTCTCGCTCTCTCTCTCCTCTCTCTCTCTCCCTCTCTCTCCTCTTCTCTCCTCCTCTCTCTCTCTCTCTCTTCTCTCTTCCTCTCTCTCGTCTCTCTTCTCTCCTCTCTCTCATCTCGCTCTCTCTCTCTCTCTCTCTCTCTCTCTCTCTCGTCTCTGCTCTCTCCTCTCTCCTCTCTCTCTCTCTCTCTCTCTCTCTCTCTCTCTCTCTCTTCTCTTCTCTCTCGTCTTCTCTCTCTCCTCTTCTCCCTCTCTCTCTCTCTCTCTCTCTCTCTCTCTCTCTCTCTCTCTCTCTCTTCTCTCTCTCTCTCTCTCTCTTCTCTCTCTCTCTCTCTCTCTCTCTCTCTCTCGCTCTCATCCTCCCCTCTCTGTTCTCTCTCTTCCTCTCTCTCTCTCTCTCTCTTCTCTCTCTCTCTCTCTCTCTCTCTCTCTCTCTCTCTCTCTCTCTCTCCCTTCTCTCTCTCTCTCTCTCTCTCTCTCTCTCTCTCTCTCTCTCTCTCTCTCTCTCTCTCTCTCTCTCTCTCTCTCTCTCTCTCTCTCTAACTTTCTACTCTCGCTCTGTAGTGTATAATGTATCACTACATGGGTTATTCGCAATAGTTATTTATTTCATTCATCATAACTAAATTAGAAGATAAATCACAAATAATTAAAAATCTAATAAAGCGTTGCGATTCCTTTCAGCTTACACTATAAAATGCGTAAAGCACTGTATAATATAATCGTAAGGCTATAACGCGAAACGACACCGCCTCGTCAGGTTACACGCAGACCATTATAGCAGGCAAGGCAACGACATCAACGGCTCCTCCATTATTCACAAGCACGCGCCGCTCAAATATTTATAACTGACTCCGCTGTTTATAGCTTTTTGTCTTCATTAATGGGATATAGCGGTTAGCTCGCACCTGTTTGCTGACGCAGGCCGGGGGTCTGCCAAATTCTCAGAACAAAATACCGGGGCGAATCCGGGCGATGCGTATGATTGTACCGTTAAGTCAGCACCGCACGCAGGTTTGCGCTTCAAATCGAAACTATATATTATATTTTGTCGTAAGGCAAACTACAATATTCCTGCAATTGTAATCGCCCACCTGTCTCCTTATATATGCGGGAAAATGTACGATACCATCAAGAGCTAGCATATAAAGTAAATACATAACCAGGAGTATATAAAAAAGTGTTTACAATAACTTACTACTACACTACTTGCTTTTATAAATATACGCAACAGTTCGTGGGCGCTTGATACGATGATGCATACGGGAAGAAATGAATACAAGCAACACTGCCGTAAAGTGAATACGTAAGTTTACCCCCGATGTTCTTCGTGAAAGCCCCGTATTTATATTAATTATTATTGAAAGCGCGAGATTTTTGCCAACACTGTTTAATCAGCTCTCCATACTATGTATCATTTCAGTTCAACCTTTAATTAAGTCCACTTCATTACGGCGGCTATGAAATGTTATGCGTATAGTATATTAGTTTAATTGTTGTTAGTTATTATCTGAAAAATCACCTCATAATCACAAACTAAACCATACACACCCGAGCGAACCATATGCGCATACAAATCCTACTTACTACTAGTACTATCCCCTACTTCCTACCCCCTATGAAATACACAAGTAATATAAATACATATAGTGACATACTAATACTTAGTAATAGTAATACTAATAAGAAAAATAACAAACTCGAAGCATAATGATAACGGTCAACATATTGTTGATATTTATCATAATAAGCCCTCACAAAACACGGACCGTGCTTAAATTCTTTTTCTTAAAATCATGTTGACAAAAATTGCACGAAATCTGTAACAAAAACACGTTACGTAGGCAACTATATAATGAAACGATGCAATAAATAAACCAGAAAAGGAGTGTCTATTAGCTCTGACACCCATATGTAGACATAATACACTGTACTATAGCAGGAGCACAAATAGCACTTAGGCTAACCTTGCCCCTTGCAATAATCCTAATCGGGTAACCCTTTCTCGTACCTTTCAAGTAGTCTTCAAGACAAACTTCCTATACTGTAGTACGCGTTGACACGACGAAGCCTCGAGTTTTCGTGGAGCACTGACAGACCACCTTCGACTGTCATCGCCATATGAAATCTGAGCTAACTGGCCACCCGCTCACTAATTAATTGGCTTTCCCATGGCAACGCTACATGCATGTGTATACAAATACCACAGCTGGCATTGCTTGACCCGCTAGAACGCCTTCCACGATCGCGCAAGTGCTCCGTTCCCAGGTACGACATCGGCTGTCAATGCAAGCGACTCGAGTTAGATTGGTTTCTGGGCGCGAACTACAGTTTTTGCAAATATTGAAATTAGTTACGGCCGTTAATGTGGCAAAAAGCGTACTAAATCAAAACACCGCGCGTGTCCGCGTGCGCGCGTGTTTGTGCGGCGTGTGCGTGTGACATGTGTGCGTGTGTGTCAAGTGTGTGTGTGATGTGTGTGTGCGCGCGCAAGCATTGGTGTGTGTGTGTGTGCGCGCGCGCGTGGATGTGTGTTTAGGTTAAAACTGAGAAATGTTATATTGAGAAGAAAAAAGGTCAATCTTCCTCGTATTTTCGTTGTTGTTCGGGGGCAGTGTTTGGAAGAGAGATGCATGTGCGAACTACAGCTGCACACATTCTACATTACGAAACACGCAGACGCACGCACACGCGAGCACATGTACACGCGTGTTCACAAATATGCACACACGCGCGCGCACGACGCACGTGTCGTTGACAAATGTTACAGCAACAGGGAGTGTATAACACAGAGTCTATAAGTTATATATAATAATATAATATATAATGTTTATATATAATTAGTATATATAATATATATACCTATATAATATATATATAGTATATGCTTATAGTTATAGTATCAGGAGTAAGATAATATAGGAACCTATATTATCTTTCTCCTGATAGTATCAATAGTACAATATATAATACACTATACACTTATCAATAATATTACCCGATAGATGGCGCGATATGGCTGTACCAAGAAATAAACAAGCTATGCATGTTTGGTGTTTATCCGGACCGTATCAAGAGCTTAGTAAATGAGTCTGGAAATCTGGAAATCCGAAATTCAACAGAGGTACTTCTACTTCTACTTCTACTTCTATACTGGACAGTCCGTAAGGAATAAACGTCCAGGGCTATAGCTAGCCATGGGGTGACATGTGACCTAGCTTGGGTACAGCCAGGTAGTTAGCCTTTTTTTTTAGCCGAATGGCGCTGAGGGTTACAACCAGAGTTTTTTTGCGTCCTCGGTGGTTCTTTTTCGTCCCCATTGGTCTTAGTATTACTATATTTACTAATACTGGAGACGGGACCGCCCTTTCTCCCGTGGTCATCCGAGCCGCGGGAGATTCACAGTCTCCAATGTTGAGAGCCAGGTTTTTACACCTTGAGAAAATTGTTCACTCACTGCCTCGGCCGGGGTTTGAACTCACAGCCTTCAGTGGACAGTATAGCTGATAGGGTCTATGTCCCCCAGGGTACTGCCGGAACGTACCCTGGGTACGGTCCAGTATACCGGAACGTACCCTGGTACTATCTAATATGTCGGACCGTATCTCGCCTACTCCACTAACGAGTCTAGGGAGTCGCCTACGCCTACTACCTAACCCTAACCCTAACCCTAACACTAACCCTAACCCTAACCATATCAGCTAGATAGTTACCAGGGTACGTTCTGGTATACCGGATTGTACCCAGGGTACGTTCCGGCAGTACCCTGGGGGAACATAGACCCTATCAGCGACAGTATACGTGGTACCATTACCAAGGTATAGACACCATGTTTAATGTTATAATGATATCTGTATCATATTTATGTATGTATCTATACTCCAATATTATTTACAGCACAATCATTAATCAAGGAGATATGTTAGAAATATATATCCCAACAAGATTGTCAATGTAATGCGCGAGTGTGGAGAGTGTGACAGTGGGACAGTGGACAGTGAGGCTCATAGGGTCTATGTCCCCCGGGGTACTGCCGGAACGTACCCTGGGTACGGTCCGGTATACCGGAACGTACCCTGGTACTATCTAATATGCCGGACTGTACCTCGCCTACTCCACTAACGAGTCTAGGGAGTCGCCTACGCCTATTCCCTAACCCTAACCCTAACCCTAACCCTAACCCTAACCATATCAGATAGTTACCATGCAGGGTACGTTTCAGTATACCGGACAGTACCCAGGGTACGTTCCGGCAGTACCCTGGGGGACATAGACCCTATGAGCGACAGTGAGTGTGTCTCACACAGATTCATTGCTTGAAACATCAAACAAGTAAAATGGATAGGTTGAAATATGGAATTATGCTAATAGAGAGACTTCTAGTCTTGCTGTGTAATTAATTTATATTTAAAAATGATTACAGGTTCCACTAGCTGACAGTTTTCACGAATCACGATAACTAGTCGCTCAAGTGCAAATGCCTGATCAAACGGGATCAATGTTGCTGCATCGATACTACAGGAACGTTCACCATGCACTCACAAATGCAAAATTGAGAGGCCTTCTGCTACTGATTGCCTGCTCGGCAATAGTGGTGCTTACTTACGCATCTTGGACCTTTCACCTTTTTGGGGAGAAGCAACCTGTTGTTGCTGATATCCAAAAGAGGTCTGTGGAAGAATTAAGGCAAGATTTCATGCCATCAGACAAATGGAGACAGAAGGATCTTCAAATGCACAAATCCAGAAAGAATACTGGAAACGTTAAAAAGGTGATCTAAATAAATCTTAAACCATTCAAGATTATGTGTTAATTTCACGTGTTTTCAGAAACGTTATTTTAGTTTGTAACGTTTGTGATATTTCGAATATCTTGTGAGAGAATATTTCATTTCTAATATTTTTTTCTATGCTGCGTGATGCTTTTTTTCAAATGGGTTGATAATGTGCTGTTTAAATATGGTGCTATTTTGCCAGTCATAAATTCTAAACTGTAATTAATAAAATAGAAATGAAAAGATTTAGGTTTACATCCTTTAAACATGGTTAATGTACTCTTGTCAATGTACACCCGATGATATTCTATTAACTGGTTTGCTTTCCAGCTCCTAATGTCGTTTACCACGGATTTTTACATGTTCTCAGGTAGGTGTGAAGCGGTATAAACCAACGTGGGAATCACTGGATGCTCGACCTCTACCTTCCTGGTATGATGAGGCGAAATTCGGCATATTTTTACACTGGGGCGTATACTCTGTTCCTGCGTATGTCTCAGAATGGTTCTGGTAAGTGTATGTATGTATTATAGTATATTCTGTGACTTTATTGAAAACATTGTTTGCACAGGAAACCAAAGCCTAGTTATAAAGTTTACTAACAAACCCCAAGTGCATTACAAAACTGTTACTATTTCAGACACTACTTCTAGTACATTCATTACTTTAGTTTACTTTCTAGTAATCTCTGTGGTCATAGCTAGCAGAGGGGGTGGGCAAGTGAGACAGTTGCCATCTCAGACCAATGTAGATACTATTACATTGTTAATGTCTAAGTGCCCACAATCAACTGCCAAAAATACAGACTACAGCTGGCTTTCCTTCCCCCTGGTAAAATGACTTGACAAAATTCCTGATCTCTCTTTCCATACTATTACAGGTGAAGAACTTTGTATGAACATGAGCTAGCACTTATAGACACTGTTGTGCCACTTTCAGGTATTACTGGAAAGGACCAAAGCCGTGGAGCAATGTAGAACGTTTCATGCAGCAGAATTACCCACCTGGATTTAGTTATGCTGAATTTGGGCCCAAGTTTACAGCAGAGCTCTTCAACCCTGTTCAGTGGGCCAACATATTCAATGCATCTGGAGCTCAGTAAGTAACTCTCGCTTCCATAGCAGTTATCATAAGCTGTTTTTGTATTTGGACTGTTGTGGCATGAATAAATAGTGACTATTGACTCTTTGGTATATGTACGATTCACGATATGCAGGTATGTGGTGCTAACGAGCAAGCATCACGAAGGATGGACAAACTGGCCCTCCAACTACTCATGGAACTGGAATGCAAAGGACAATGGCCCACACAGAGATTTGGTCGGTAAGCCGTCAGTTCTGCTCTGTGCAATTTCGTTTTGTTTTCTAGATTGAAGCTTATGGCAAAGCACACTTCTGAAGTCTACCTGTGACATTGCTTGTCGTCTTATGTTGTAGGGGAGCTTGCTACCGCTGTTCGCTCACATAGTCACATCCACTTTGGACTTTACTATTCCCTCTTCGAGTGGTTTCATCCACTCTACTTAAAAGATGCTGCGAGCAAATATAAATCTCAAGAATATGTCGAGGTAAATATCGTGTTTAGTTTACTTATAACAGTTCTGGCTCTCTTTCATTGATTGCATGTGTTGTAGTATGCATATCAGTACACATAGGGATAAGCAATGGACACCATAGCTGTGTATGCATATGAATCACCATCGAAAAGTATATCGTCATCTGCTTCTCTGAGCTTTGTTAATAGCAGATAGTCAGTCACTGACAGCAATCACATTTAGCTTTGCTTCTGTTAGTCGGTAAGCTGGCCACAACTTCATGAGATTGTCAACACGTACCGACCAGAGGTAGTGTGGTCCGATGGGTCTCCAGGACCAGTTGACTACTGGAAGAGTAAAGAGTTCCTTGCATGGCTCTACAATGATAGGTACGTAATGTTGAAGCGCTGTCGAGATGAATGAGCTGCACACACTTGGGGTTATGGTTAACAAGCTTACATTTTCTAGCAGTTGTCAGACCGTGTAGTATTTGAAATCAGTCCTTGTGCATTTATTCATGTTCTGTTTTATAGCCCTGTCAAAGACATTGTTGTGACTAACGACAGATGGGGAACTGGAGCGCCATGCAAACATGGTGGTTACTACACCTGCCACGATCGCTATAACCCAGGTGGGTCAGGACATTTCGTTTTGCTTAGCGATAGCTATCGAATCGTTACCATCGGCTTCTGATCAGAAGTAACTTCTTTGGAACCTTTTTACGTAAATATATGTGAATGGTTTTATTGTGTTTAGGCCATCCTCATTGGCATTACCTTTCTCGAGCTTTATATAATTGCTTGTGACCATAGGGAGTTTGCAAAACCACAAATGGGAAAACTGCATGACCATAGACAAACATTCTTGGGGTTACCGCCGGGATGCAAAGCTCGAGGACTACATGACCATTGAAGAGCTTATCGAGAATCTAGCTTCAACAGTGAGGTATCTATCCATTGCACGTAGCTTAACTTCTACATCCTAACAATGGTCATATTCTAAATATGATATCAGAATCACATCCCCTCTGATTGTAGTTCATTAGAATAAGAAGTTTCTGACTGATTTGAAATGAGCACAACTGAACTGTATGATTATCATCACACTTTACTCTATAAAACAAACTATCAAAGGTATGTTGCGACTATATTTATAATATTAAGAGCGTATTAAGAAGGCTTCTTAATACGCTCTTGATAATATATTCTTTATTCCGTGTTCAACATTTTGTGTATATTGTTTGCAGTGAAAGATTTAATTGCTGTTTGCATTTTATCGGTGTAGTATTATTGTATGTATATCAATTTTAGTTGTGGCGGAAACTTATTGATGAATGTTGGACCGACACATGATGGACGAATCATGCCAGTATTTGAGGAGAGATTGCGTCAGATGGGTCAGTGGTTAAACGTTAATGGGGATGCCATCTACAAGACAAAACCGTGGACATACCAGAATGACACCGTCACAACAGGAGTTTGGTGAGTTGTAGTCATGTGCAGTGCATTTTTTTTCATAATGAATTTTATTTCCAAAAGTATATATATATTGTACAATTTATTTTACACAATATTAACAATAGGGTATGTGCAGTGCGGTTGTTACTAATTATTTTATGCACAACGAATTGCGCAAAATTGTAAAAAAAAATTCTTCTGAGGTCGGTGATGTTAACCTTAATTTTACCCCATGTTTTCTTTAGGTACACCTCTAAAAAAGACACCACAGGCGACAATAATGTCTATGCAATCGTTCTGAAATGGCCAGAGAATGGTATACTGTCGCTCGGAGCTCCATGGCCTACTGAGATCACAAACGTCTCCATGCTAGGCTTTAGTGGGGATATCAGCTGGTCTGGTTCTGTGTCTAAGCAGGGTTTGAATGTCACATTCCCAAAGGTCTCTTTTAAGCAATTGCCATCGATGTGGGCTTGGGTGCTTAGGCTTCGAAGCCTACGCAACGGACGATGAACAATTGCATGTCGTACTCGAACTCGTACTCCTTATGCAATGGTCTGGGCGGGATCTGGGCTTTTATTCTACCTATGCTCTACTGACCAGGTGTAACTATATATTATCAAGAGCGTATTAAGAATTCAATTCTTAATACGCTCTTGATATTATGTTTATATATTTTTACTCACTCCTGATTATATATTAAAAATAAGTCAAAAGATGAGAAGATTGTGCCTCCAGATTGAGAGCACATGGCTAACAGATGGCACACTAGTAACTATGTGCATGAAACACTTGTATTGTCTTGTCAATATTTTCTACGATAACACTAACAGCGTCCGATTCAGTTTGTTTTCATAAAAAATGCAAAAAAAGTAATTCTGTTATCATTGTATGACTGTAATCCTTACGTAATGCGACACCAGGGGGCGATAGCAGTGTGTTAAATATGTCAGCCCCCAGCTGCAAATATTTAACATGATCTCTACTCGCAACCCATTCCATGTTTGGTGTTGATATATAAAGGTGAGTGGTAACTAAACCAATTAGTCACACAGTCTCGACATTGATAACCCGTGTTGCTGCAAATGTATACAAATTGCAATTTTGCATACTGTGTGTTGAATTTAAAATGAAATAAAATCTGGTTTTTGTACTACGCTAGGTCACATGCGTCTAAACAGAGGAATTGCTCCGACCTGTGATTGGAGGATAAAAATAGACCCCGCCCACTTTTCCATTTTTGGAGGATAAAAATAGAATTCGTGACGTTTCGTTTCACCGGTCATAGCCGCGCGTGCATATTTGCTAATTAATTAGTCTAATCGCGCTTCAATAGACTCAAATTTCACAGACGTGTTTTTCTACACGTACGAAGAACTACGTACTAGAACGTAGTAGAAGAAAGAACGTGCTAATTAATTAGTCTAATCGCGCTTCAATAGACTCAAATTTCACAGACGTGTTTTTCTACACGTACGAAGAACTACGTACTAGAACGTAGTAGAAGAAAGAACGTACTAGAACGAAATTTCTAAGACATGTGTCTATAATAGCTAGAATTTATAGAAATGTAACTCAAATCATTCGCTCCATATGATAGTTAGTACACGTTCCGGTGCAAATACACTTTATGACGTCCAGTATGGCGGCGCAGTATGGGGGCGCCGGTGCAAATACACTTTATGACGTCCAGTATGGCGGCGCAGTATGGGGGCGCCTAACCCTAACCCTAACCCTAATTCTAACCCTAACCCTAACCCTAATTCTAACCCTAACCCTAACCCTAACCCTAAACCTAACCCTAACCCTAACAATAGGGTTAGGGTTAGAATTAGGGTTAGGGTTAGGGTTAGGCGCCCCCATACTGCGCCGCCATACTGGACGTCATAAAGTGTATTTGCACCCACGTTCCTACCGGTCATAGCATAGCGTATGCGGCGGGAGTGGGCGGGGTCTATTTTTATCCTCCAATCACAGGTCGGAGCAATTCCTCTGTTTAGACGCATGTACTAGGTCTAGGGGCCTACAGTCTACACTACTACTAGTACTACTGCTAGTACTACTTTTCTACACTACAGTTTGCAGTGTCAGTACTGTAAAAGTGCAACATCGGGGTAAATGCGGTTCATGTAGTTTGAAGAACTCAACAGTGGTTTAAAATTTTTAGGAGGATCGTTTATTACAAGAAAATTGATAAGGTCAATAGTCAAATGGCTGAGGCAATTATTCGCGATCTTTTGATGTAAGTTTACAATAATGTTCATTTTCATACCTAATCCGAGTGTTTTCTAGCTCATCAAAACTCAGTCGTGAATTTATTTCCTAAAGGACTGGACGAAAGGTCTAAGCGAATGGACTGTCGTACCTCCAGCCTCGTAAATTGGAGATACGGCTGCCGTACCTCCGGCGACTACCTAAATTAATGCTAAAACCAAATGAATTATTAATTAATTGACGCTAAATACTAAATTGCATACAGAAATAACGTTTGGCATACCCTACAATTTTGGCCAAAAGACTCATACATGCTGCTAGCATTGATAGTCTATTAGATTTTTTTATTCCAGTACCTTGCTATTAACTTGTAATGATTCAAAGAATTGCATTCTTTCTTGATCTTTGGGAAACTGTTCCAAAGCTTAGGCCCGTAACTTAATAGTGACATGGTCGAGAGTATATTTCTCCCTTTTGCAGTATGTCATTACTAGTAAAGACTTGCTAAGTCACAATATTTAAATAAATTCTACATGGTAAACAAAACGAGGCAGTTTTTTGTGTTGGATTTTTCAACCGGATTGGTTTCAGAATCGGTAAATTTTTACGATCCAGAAGCTTGTCTTAGCTTGCTTCAAAATCATCGTAGACGAATTTCAAAGCTCTGTACTATGTACGTTCAAGTTTGATATTGTTCGTTGCACCACCAAAATGCAACACGCCAACACACAGTGGTTGAAATGCATTAATAATAAAGTATCTAAAAACTTACATCCAGGCTGCCTGATAAAGATAGTGGGCCAGTTTTTTGAGTAGGCCTACTTTCAGCTGAGCAGAAGGCTTTTCTTAGCAAAATTGGTTTACATGGTGAAGGAAACCCACCTGATCATCCATGCCAACTATATGTAATTTCATATGTTTCACTTATTGTATTAAAGGATGTTTGTTTTTCCTCTTCTTGCTTTGATTGTATATCACACACATTCAGTTTTAAGTGTGGCGGTGTCCTCACTGTACTTGTGTGGCATTACTTAAGATCTAGTAGGGTTTGCTTCCATCACTTTTGCTTCAAACCACAACCACAAATAATCGTTTGTCTCCCCGATATTTCGAAGACCTGCTATATTAACAATAGCAGTAGCAATATATAAGTATATAGCCAACATTGCACTATGGTGACGATGAGTAATTGCAATGGAAGCCATGGACATGGGACAGTGGGTAGCCTTTGAAAGGATAATAATATAAGCTGTATTGTATAGCACAATGTCTCCAAAACAAACAAAAAGTGTAGCAAAACCTCGCAATCACCCCTGGTACAACGAAGAGTTATTAGTAAAATTGAGAAAAATACTGTTCTTTAACCAGTGATCTAAATACCAGAGTAGAGACCTTGCCACATAGAATTTGCTAAATCGAGGCAAGCTGAGTCAATGCGCTTGACACTTTGTTTTGCATGGATGTGAAAGAATCAGACCTATATTCATTAGAAGTAGATATTGGAAATTCCTATTAGGTCATAGATTAGATGTTTAGACTAGATGGGATCGAGCTTATATTAGATTTCTATTAGAATCTTTATATATGATTTCTTATTGTCTATTATTCATCCAAACTGTTATATCATTCAATAAAAGAGGGTCGTGTAATGCATTCATGAATTATCTCAGTTTATCTGTGTCTATGAAAGTCCTTTTTGGTTAAATAAACTATATGCCATCAAACTTGTTGATGGAAAGACTCAGTGACATGTTAAACTGTTGTTGGTACATACCAGCATGCCAGCATGAATACTTCTGCAATGTATTAGCTTGCTTCTATTTTCTAGCTATTATGCATTTGAGTATTTATCGACCTATTTATCTATGGCATATGAACCATGCAAATGCACATTTGGATTCTTTTTCTTTACTATTGTTATGTATTTCTTTTTATTTAAATGAGTCACTGACTATTATTTTGTTATTTTTGTTGTCAAGAGTAAGATGGTAGGAACAAGAGTGTTATTGTGCTTCTTACCCCTATTCTTATGTAATATGATTTGTTAGTTGTATAGTGGCATTGCTTTGTGTGATTGATTAGTACGATATGCTAATTGCCCGTATGAACGTAGTTGGCCCCTTTGCTGTTTGGCTGCATACTTGCTCTTCTGGTATAAGATTGCTTTAGAGACAAAAGTAACTCTATGAGTAACAGCTAGGTCAATATTTCTCACGAATAACGCTTTCACTGAGAGAGCCTCTATGCCTGGTATTATTATCTGTGGTGCGGCCAACATTACATGTTCACATGTTAACATTCACATGTTAATGGCGTCTTGTTATACACGGGGGTATTTTCAGATGCCTAGCCATCCTTCTGGAGCGCATGCATGCATGGTGCTGTATATGGTTACACAAGGGGCATCGGTGCACATGCAGCCGTGAGGCAGGCAGGCCGCGCACAGATGACACGAGGTTAAACATAGAATCCGCATTTATACTGAGCGTCGTGGCAAGAGGCAGACAGCCGGTGAAATGTTTAGCGCTTTCGATAAGTATACATGACGTCGGCACTACTCTCGGCTGTCGTCTGCTGCAGTCGGCGCGTGTATAAGAGCCCCGTTGGCTTCCCGCCAGCCAGAGTCTAGAAAAACATCGCCATCATCGCTGTCTAAAAAGATGTTTGCGTAATTCTCGTTTTCGACTGTGTGCTTTTTCATGATTATGAAGGTAAGACGAGTGATTTGAACCGTGTGTGTGCGTACGTTTATACTTATTGCAATCTTTGCCGCATGCTTGTATTTTGTGAAGACTCTAAGAAATTAAGAGCTGTGTATCGCTCTGCGGTATGGGGATTAGTGTTTTATCACGTAAACCCCTCTAACACCAAACAGATTTTAACAACATGGTTGATGTCCGTGTACATGCGTGTGTGTGTGTGTGTGCGTGTGTGCGCGCGTGTATAGTGGTGTGCAAGCCTGGCTGTGTGTATGTGTACATGCGTGCGCGCGTGCTTGCATCCGTCTGTACGTCTGCTTTCGCGTGTGGGCAACTAATGACATTTTATAGATAGTTACTTCTGCCCGAACCAAAAAAGCGCGAGTGCTAGTGTTGACTTATTTCCTCTGGATCTTCCTCGTCGGCGTACATATGTTCGCGGCAGTATTTCTTGAGAGAAAAAAAATTAGGATTTTATTAATAGCAGACTCCGCTGTTGCCCCGTGATACATTAACCGAAACAAAATCGCGTCACTGACCCGAATTGATGGTGTTTCACCCGTATCGTGTATATATACTTCCCGAAGCCATGCGGTGGTGATGCTGCACGCTTGATCTTTATATATCAGAAGTAGATAATAGGGTTATATATGCTGTTATATATGCAAGCTACGTTGAGCTACGCGCCTATACGTACCAACCTAACATGCAGTAGCTTTATCGGCTTACTACCGTGTTACGTGCTCTAGCTGGAGTTTTCCCTTGGCCAAAAGTTTGCGAGCGTGGGCATCCGTTTCAAAAACGGTCGCGGCAGGAAAAAGTGCAAAATAGCAACGCACTACGTGAGAGGCGGTTGTACGTGTTTGGTTTGGCATCCTGGAACGCGTTTGGCACGCGTGTTATTGTACGTATGTTTTGTTTGTATATTATTAAGCGTGTAATAGGTTCTCTTTTACTGTTTTCTTAGCTTCTGCTGCTATTAGCTCTCAACGCGTATACGTGGCGTTTGATACATTATTTCTGACGGAAAATTGTTTACATTTTTATAATCTATATTACCAAGAACGTGTAAACTCTGAGTAAATGACTCTGAACTATATTTTTAGAAATGCTAGTTTCAGTAGTAGATTAATAATTCAGTTAAAATCAGGATATAAGGACCCAAGAAATCAATATTATAGCCGTAACAATGGTTATTCGTTAACACAAATTTATTATTATTTTGCCATTCACCCGTTAAATGTTTTTCCCACCTACTCGCAGTGCATTTACTATATATCTAAATATTTATATTATGTTTACCATTTTAGAACCAGAAGTACATAAAGTAGAGATTTTCTCATTCATATGCTCCTGTTAGCATTATTGCATCATAATATGTAAAAGAGCAAAATGATGACGGTGATGTTGATGATCGTGATGATGATGTGGTTTGTTTTGTTAGGCCTCATTCACTCATAGTTGCAAGCAGAGCGTTTAGAAGCAATGTCAGGTGGTGCGGACACCGCAGCAAATGGCTGTTACTCTGCTGGTGTAGATTACAGCGCTGGTCAGTCGCGTGATGCTCCCGCGTTTCCATGGAAACATGTGCACGGTTTTCTGCTGTAGACAAGTATTTTTTTTTTTAAATAGTGTGTGTGTGTGTGTGTTTTTCGAAAACAATAGTTTACATGCCAATTGAATCAACATACCGATTCGAGTTGGTTGGTTCTGCGATTGATAATTTAGAATATGTGTGTATGTTCTGCCGTGCCAGATCATTGGTGTGACTGCGTGAATAACTATTTTCCCAAATGCTTATTTACATGGCTTTCATATTGGCTTGGAGCTAAAACATTTAAGCCGTTTTCTTTTCCAATACCCGATACCTATTATAGCTAGGTTTGTCCCTGTTGTGATTTCTGCTTTCTAAGTTGGCTTTATTAGACCGCTGTGCATTTTGTACTAGTACAGTGCAATAATTTCATTTATTATAAAGCTGATATACAGCGGATTTAATGTATTTGGTCGTGGTTGATAGGTTTACACCAATTGCATCGTGTATATATGAAAGTTTTTGACGAAATAAAAGTGGTCCTAAACAACAGAATTATCGTATTGTAATTCGATTTTGTATGTAAACTATCGTAATAGAGATTCCTCCCATTCGAACTCGGTCAGTGGAAGATGGCTTTTTTTCTCTTTTTTTTACGTCTTTTGTTACTTGATATATGACCCTTATTTGCTTTCAGACGAATGGAGGGGCAGGGAGCTTGCCACCGATTCTTCCCTGGAGCAGGCCATGTACAGCTTGATTGACAATAAGATGTCTAAGAGTAGCCAGAATCCCCTCACGAGGGCGCTGCATGCAGCCGTTGAAGTAAATGATGTTGCACCGGTGGAGAAGCTCATACAGGAAGGTGCTGACCTCAGAGCCTACGTACATGGATGGACCCCACTAGGTGACGCTGCCGTGCTACACTATATTTTCAAAAAAGTACTCGATGGGTGTCACCAGGAGCACATCTAGATCTAACTTTATCACATAATTATCTCTCAAGTTTGATGGACGTGTTCCCGATATCACCCACATGAGCTTGAGGCAAAAGTTTTTCTGCTTTTCTGCCTGTGCGTATAATTAGGTTTAATAGCCAATCTCTCTAGTTCTTCTAACTGATATAGAGCTCTGAATTGATGACGTCACGGTGGCATGACAACGAACCCACTGGTTCTAAACAATCATATGCTCTGGTAACATTAACTGCGTGAAAATGGTGTCGTGTTTTGTACCCGATTGTAACCATCATTCTGAGAGTCATTATTGCAGTTTTTATAGATTTCCAAAGGATGGAAGTGAAAAGCAACGGAAAAAAATAAAAAATAACAAAATTTTATTTTATTTTATTAATTCAATATTGTAAGATCGACTTGCTACCGATGCTTTACCGCTGTCTACAGCGCACACACACTCGTGTTTTACGTACGCACAACATTTTCACGCAGTTAATGTTATGGAGCCAGTGGGTTGTGTAGAACCAGCCCGTACGTTGTCTTGACAACGTAACGTCACACTTCGGTACTCTATAGCGTCATGTCTATCACAGAGGTTTTAACGAAGACGCGTACGGCGCTCCACGTGGGCGGGCGCGGTCTAGACGGTCTAGTGCTATCACCAAAACCGCCGCCGCCGCGGCGACTGGCTGCGTACGTGGCAGGTTTTTACCAACCTCCTCACCCCGCGCTGCCCGTAGCGACGGCCCGTCGTGCGAGCACGTGCTGGCGTGGCCGTGCCAGTTTTTACACGTAGCTAATCCTACGTACACGTACATACTGGCCCCTGCTGCAGCGCGCCCATGCAGCAGCAAAGCAGCAGCAGCAAGAAATACTGGCCATGCAGTAGCAAAGCAGCAGCAGCAGCAAGCAATACTGGCCTTAATTAATTAATTAAATATTGTAAGATCGACTTGCTACCGATGCTTTACCGCTGTCTGCAGCGCACACACTCGTGTTTTACGTACGCACAACATTTTCACGCAGTTAATGTTATGGAGCCAGTGGGTTGTTTAGAACCAGTGGGTTCGTTGTCATGCTATCATGACGTCACACTTCGGTACTCTATAACAGATACTAGCAAGTAAACCCATTCAACTATGAAGGCACATGTTTTCACACGCTTTTCATGTGTTAGGTAAACGCATACCCGTATGAAAGCAGTGCATGTTTGACATTAGTAGATGCAAATGCGAATTTTACCATGTCTTTACGTGTTTACATATTCTTCTCATGTTTTCACATGGAATTTTCACGTGTTCGCATGTTTCTCGTGCGTCTACTTGTGTGTTTACGTGTGTTTTTCTCATGTGTTTACGTGTTTTCTCCCACGTGTTAACGTGTTTCTCCCACGTGTTTATGTGTTTTCTCCCACGTGTTCACGTGTTTTCTCCCACGTGCTAACGTGTTTTCTCACACGTGTTTTACCCACGCGTTTACGTGTTTTCTCTCACGCGTTTTCGTGTTTTTCGTCGCGCAGGTAAGGCGGCGCAGCGCGGCAACCTCGGCGTCGTGAGGGCGCTGCTAGGCAACCGCGCCGTCGTCGTCGACCAGCTCGACTTCTACGAGCGCACGGCGCTGATGTACGCCTCCGAGCACGGCCACCGCGACGTCGTCGACGCCCTCATCGAGCGAGGTAAGTGCCCGGTCCTCGGCGGCTACGCTCGGTCCTCCGCCGCTGCGAAGCCCGGCCCTCCGCGACGACGCCAGGTCCTCGGCGGCTACGCCCGGTCCTCCGCGACGACGCCAGGTCCTCCGCGACGACGCCAGGTCCTCGGCGGCTACGCCCGGTCCTCCGCAGCGATGCCCGGTCCCCCGCGGCGATGCGCCCGGTCCTCCGCGGCGATGCGCCCGGTCCTCCGCGGCGATGCGCCCGGTCCTCCGCGGCGATGCGCCCGGTCCTCCGTGCCGATGCCCAGTCCTCCGCGGCGATGCCCAGTCCTTCGCGGCGATGCGCCCAGTTCTCCGCGGCGATGCGCCCGGTCCTCCGCACCGATGTCCAGTCCTCCGCGGCGATGCCAGGCCCTCCGCGGCAATGCCAGGCCCTCTGCGGCAATGCCAGGCCCTCTGCGGCAATGCCAGGCCCTCTGCAGCGATGCCAGGCCCTCCGTGGCAATGCCAGGCCTTCCGCGGCAATGCCAGGCCCTCCGCGGCGATGCCAGGCCCTCCTCGGCAATGCCAGGCCCTCTGCGGCAATACCAGGCCCTCTGCAGCGGTGCCAGGCCCTCCGCGGCAATGCCAGGCCCTCCGCGGCGATGCCAGGCCCTCCGCGGCAATGCCAGGCCCTCTGCGGCGGATGCCAGGGCCCTCCGGCTGGCGATGGCCAGTCCCTCCGCCACCGCGGATGCCAGGCCTCGCGGCGGATGCAGCTTCCGCGGATCATGCAGGCTCGCCGGCGATGCCGTCTCGCGCGATGCGCCAGTCTCCGCCCGCAATGTTCCAGTCCTCTGCCTGCGATGCAGTCCTCCGCGGCGATGCAGGCCCTCCGCGGCAATGGCCAGGCCTCCGCGGCGGGATGCCGAGTCGTCGGGGCGATGCGCCCAGTCTCAGCGCCGATATCCAGTTCTCGCTTGCCGATGCCAGCCTCCGTGGCGATGCCGAGGCCTCGCGGCAATGCCAGCCTCCGCGGCGATGCCGGCCTCCGCAGGACGCTCGGGTTTTGTCCCTTCGCCATGACGCCCGGTTTCTGTGGCGTTCAGGCGCGTTCGCCAAGTCGGTGGTGGTAGGTTGGCGTAGGGTAGTTCAGGGCACAACTCTCAGGTTGGCTCTTGGTACACTGTTTGGCATTGAGGTGTTCTCAGGCACTTGTTGGTTTAGGTGCTCTCAGGCATCTCAGTCTGCGGCCATTGACAGCGTTGCTGCGGAGTACGTGTAAAGTATCAGTGGGATCTAGGTGCATAAAACATTGATTCATGTTCCGGCCAGCAGCATTGCAGATATGCTCAGCTCTGAAGTGATCTCTAAAAGTAAAGAGAGTGATGCAAGCTCGGGTCATGTCACAGCGGGCAGGCGTTGTTAGGCCAAACTTGAGGTATCAGAGCTCAGAGCGCACCTAATTTCAGTTGTGTCCTTTTAAGTGCATCCAAACGAAGGATGACAAATTGTTGCGCTAGGGTTGATTGCTAGATTACATTTTCCTGTTGTGATTCATTGATTGCTGAGTTGTGTGCGTTTCTTGATTTCCATCGGATTTCGGCGTAACTTCAGTGTCGATTGTATTTGTATTATCGCTGTATAGTTTCTTGACCTATACAGGCCTTACTATGTTGGTTGTTCATGTTGTCAAAATCTCTAGAGAGTAGCGGTGCAATCTTCGCACTGTTGTTCTTACACAGGTTGCAGGCTTTGACATGGGAGATGTGATAATGACTGACGCTGTCTTCAACTGCCAGGTCTTGAGATATCGTTAAGTGTGCCTGCTTAAGGCTGGAAGTAAATCCAGGGCAAGACGCTTTGACACGAGGTATAGTAGCTGTTTATGGGTCTGTCTGCAAAAAGAGGAAGATATATCCTCAGGCACCGTTTTTGTCAGCACAACCGATTGCAGCAGCACGTGCCTCAAAGTTATTTATAGTTTACGGCTCAAATTAGGCATTCTAGGACGACTACCGGTTACCACTGGACATTACCACCGACATTACCCCCCGCCGGGAAATACCACAGCGCGTTACCAACCCGGACAAGTTACCACCAGGACAATTCACACCGGACAATTACCACCGCGTACATTACCCACCGGACAATTAACCACCAGACAAATATTACCCACCAGGACAATTACCACCAGAAATTACCCCAGAGACAGGTACCATCAGGCAATATTAGCCACCAGGAAATTACACCTAACCTTCCAATAAGGGGGAAATTCCCTTTACCGTAAATTTTTGTCTGCTGCAATTAATAATTATGTCTGGAAAGAGAGAAATGGCCTACCCCATGTGTGTCAGAGAACGCGGCGTTGATAATGGGGACGGACGGAGAGGGAGGTCGCCCCTACCGTCTATAATGACGGGAATGTTGGTATCCCCAATGATCTTGTCTGGCCATGTACGTTATGTTATGTAAACTGTTAGTGTGTGCTGTGTTGCTGCAGGAGGGTCGTAAATCGGGGGGGAGCACCACCCGCTCTGAAGGAGGGGGGGATTGGCCTGTACACAATCATCCCCCTGAAAATCACAAAAAAAAAAGAAAAAAAAAATAGCCAAAAGTATCTTTTCAACATCAAAACACGTGAAATTGTGAAGAAATTGCAATTCTTACTGTGTTTTTATAAATGCTATTAGATTACTATAGTAAATAACTGTGTACATTCTGAAAGTCATGAAAGTGTTTGAATCCTAACTTGCAGGGTTGGAGTCTATGGGTTGAGATTACTTTATAGACATGAAAATATGCCCATAGGATATGCCTCAGATGTGCAGGAAAATTGGCTTTTAATATTTCAAATTGTACATGCCTACGGCACGTGCCAAACGTCAGTTTGTCAAAATTTGGCATCTGTGCGTGGATGTATGTAGTGCATGTTAAATGTATGTACGTGTGTTTGTGTGTGTGTGTGTGTGTGTGTTTGTTCGTTTGTGTGTGTATGTGTGTGCATTGCGTGCATGTGTGTGCTTTTTTCTATGTGTGTGTGTATGTGTGTAGTGTGTTGCGTGTGTGTGTGTGTGTGTGTGTGTGGTGTGTGTGTGTGTTGTGTGTGTGTGTGGTGTGTGTGTGTGTGTGTGTGTTGTGGTGTGTGTGTGTGTGTTGTGTGGTGTGTGATGTGTGTGTGTGTTGTGTGTGTGTGATGTGTGTGTGTGTGTGTGTGTAGTGTGTAGTGTGTGTGTGTGTGGTGGTGTGTGTGTGTGGTGGTGTGTGTGGTGTGGTGTGTGTGTGTGTGTGATGTGGTGTGTGTGTATGTTCGTGCGTGCGCGATTCGCGCCGACGTGGGCGTAAATGAATTGTGGGTGGTTGCTCGTGCTAGTATGTGAGGGCTATCGCCGCATCCCCCATCTCGCGTAGCGGACTAGCTCTGGTCTACATGATGCTGGGGATGTGATAGTGTTTCCTCATTTTTCTTTGTTGATTGCGTTCAACTCGTGAAAGCGCGACACGTACACGTGGCGATGCGCTGCGTGTGTATCGTCACGATGCTGGCGCGTGCCAAGTGTGCGTGGTGCAGTACACTGTGCCGTGCTGTGTGGTCGCACGTACACGTGCAGGTGCGTGGTGTGGCATGTACACGGTTGCGTGCGTGCGTGCATGTGCACGTGTGTGTTGCGTGTGGGTGCAGTACACGTGCGATGCGTCCGTGGTGCAGTGCGTGCGAATGTGTGCGTGCGGTGTCAGTACAGTGCGTGGTTGCGTGTGTACGCTACCGGGTGTGCGTGCGTGGTTGGTGCCGACAACGTGCGTGGGTTAGTACCGTGCGTGGCGTGCGTGCATGTTACGTGTGCGTGGGTGTCGTGTGCAGTAGCACGTGCGTGTTAGCGACGTACACTGTGCGTGCGTGGTGCATGTGCATGTGCGTGCGTGGTTGTGTGGCAGTACAAGTACGTGCGTGTGCACACGTGTCGTGCGTGTGTCGACGTACACGGTGCGTGCGTGCGTGCACGTTGTAGTCACGGGCGCGCGGGTGTGTAGTACACGGGCGCGCGGTGCTTGTGTACGTACACGGAGGCGCGGTGCGTGTGTAGTACACAGGTGCGCGCGTGACGTGCATGTGCACCGTGCGCGTGCGGCTGTGTGCAGTCACGTACGTGCGTGCGTGTGCACGTGTGGCCGTGGCGTTACCTTAGCGACCCTGAAAAATGTTCGACATGTACGTGTGCATTCGGTGGCTGTGGCTTCGCTCCGCTGCTGAATGCGCAGGTGAAGGCGATAATTGCGATATGAACTTCAAATCGGGTATCGGCGAATGGTCGAAATAAGTCAAAATATCGGCAGTATCAGTGGAATGTTGAAGTTGAAATATGAAATCATTGAAGTTTGGTTCGTAATGATCATCATTACGTACGGTGTTGTGTGGGGGGGGCTAGGGTAATCGTCCGGGGGTGGGGGTAATTGTCTGGTTGGGTACATTGGTCGGGTGGATATTGTTCCGGGGCGGAGAACGGTAGTTGTCCTAGTGGGTAATTGTCCTGGTGGGTAATTGTCCGGGTGGGTAATTGTCCTGGTGGGTAATTGTCCGGTGGGTAATCGTCCGGGTGGGTAATTGTCCTGGTGGGTAATTGTCCGGGGGGTAATTGTCCGGTGGGTAATTGTCCAGTGGGTAGTTGTCCGGATACGCAAAATTAGTGTGTATTTAGTTTTACTGATAAATGCATACATTTCTTTATTGAACTTAAGATCTTTAGTAGTGAAGCAGTTATGAGCCACTAATATATTTAACCGATGGACTCTGATGGTTTGTCATATCAATTATCAAGGATTCTGTTTTCTTAAGACTAAGATTAACTGATGTTGTCATTTAATTTTCCAGTGAACGTTTAACTCCCTTGCACTGTGCATGTGGACGAGGCTTTACAGGGATCGCGAAGAAATTGCTCAAATATGGTGCTAAAGTAAGTTGTGCAAAACGTTTTGCAATGTGGTTTTACTCGTTGTTTTACTTCGCTCAACAGTCTTGCAGTTATGAGTTGCTGGATGCAATAATAAAATTTGTATTCTACATTATCGTAGGTAGATTCCCTCGACTATAGCAAGAAGACTCCACTTCATGTTGCAGCCATCAGAGGGCACCACGAGGTGGTGGAACTTCTCATTGAACATGGAGCCAATATCAACTTGGCATACACTAAAGGTAGAGCTGCAATTTTCTTAAACTTTCAAGTAGTTTAAGATTAGAAAGAATGACTGCACACTTATGTGCAGTATGCACTTATGCTTAGTATATGCACATAGCGTCGTTGTACGTACGTCAGTTGTAATATTTTATACGTGGCTGTGTTATTTCTAAAAAAAGGTACTAAAATTATCAATGGAACTGCACCAGTCAAATTGCTGACGATATTACTGCTGGTAATGCGCTTAATGTGGGACTATCAACAGTAGATATATGACCACATTTAATCATGTTGCTATATCTATATCTACAGTTTCACTCACTCTTCATAAAGCTCTGCAATGATTGTATTTCGCAGATCATACACCACTGTTTGAAGCCGTGTGGCAGAACGACATGGAAATGGTGCGAATGCTTCTGCAAGGTGGTGCCGAGACCAGACACTGCGCGCTGGTGCACAACGCCATCTCTCACAGGAATATCGAGCTAGTCGACATGCTCGTGAAAGCAGGTGAGCGTGTATGTGTAAGTACGTGTCTGTCACTTGTGAACATTTCCGTCACGACTCGCTCACGTTTTGTTTCCGCACGTGCAGTTGTGCACCTAGTGAGAATCGAACTACTGCCAGATCCCAGACGGTCCTAGATCTGTGGTCACACCGAGTTTAGGTTGAAGCTGACATAGCTATGGTTGGAACGAAGGACCCATTGTCTGAAACATATAAAAGAAGTTACGACGTCCCAAGTCTAAAATGTCTTACCGCTTGGAGTGAAGTCTTGTGTGACATCTTATACCTATATAATAGCAATAACTACATATTTGTGATGTTTCTGACTACTGGGTCCTAGTACACAGCATGCTTTATCTAACCATGCCAGTGCACCAAGTCAACCCATGTTACCGGGCGGTGGGTGATAAACTAGCTTGTGGTTTTAGATTGGAACATCGTGCACTAGAACGCGCTAGACTGTAAACAACAATTTCTTATTTCCTGCTGGGCCTTATTGAATGGAATTTCAATTTTGCAATATCCACTGACGTTTTACTTTAGTAGGGCTCATAGGGTTTATGTCCCCCAGGGTACTGCTGGAACGTACCCTGGTCACTATTTGATATGGTTAGGGTTAGGATTAGGGTTAGGTTTAGAGTTAGGAAGTAGGCGTAGGCGACTCCCTAGACTCGTTAGTGGAGAAGGCGAGGTACGGTCCGGCATATTAGCTGCTAGAGGAGACGGCGGTACCAGGGTACGTTCCGGTATACCGGACCGTACCCAGGGTACGTTCCGGCAGTACCCTGGGGGACATAGACCCTCTCAGCTTTAGTAGGCGAATATTGACACAAGATCAATAGACGTGTTATGCTAACAGACCACGTAGTACACAATGTCATCAAAGCAAGAGTTTGGACAGAAATAACATTTTATGATGTGTACAATGTGCTGAAATCTCACAGCTGGTTAGAGGAATGTAGAATTAGAGGTTTTTAGGACGTATTTTAACTCGATTCTCAACTGTTCCATGTAAGATTAGCTGCATCCAAAACTGGTGCGGTGTATCAGTTATCCCAACGTTTCCTTCTCGTATTAATACTTTTCAATATTCGCCGTCGATTTGTGCTAGGAATCTACAACCGGATATACAAACGTATCTCTCGATCCCACACTACCGGTACAATAATGCTGAGTGCGAACGTAGTTTGTGTAAACACATGAATCCCCCCCCTCACCCCCACCCGTGTGTGTGTGTGTGTGTGTGTGTGTGTGTGTGTGTGTGTGTGTGTGTGTGTGTGTGGACACGTGCGGTGCGTGGGTCGGACGCGTGGTTTGGTTACCGGCGCGCTTGCATTTGCCGTGTGACTCATTTTTGCCGGATGTTTGCACGTCCTGTCGGCGTCTCTCTGATGGTGACGCGGTGCACCAGCCTAATGCCATTTTGTAAAAAATAACGCGCCCGTCGCGGCGGCTTTCTCATCGTCAATGTTTCCACGAATCAACATCGCAGCTGATATACTCGCATCGCGCGCTCACACGGCGCGTACTACGTTTTTTTTCCCCGCGTCTCGGCGATACTTATATCTCCCGTCAGTGCGCTTCGCGAAGATTCTCGTTAATGAGAGCTTTCGAGAGAAAAATTGCAAGATAAATGCTGCTGCGGGTAAGGCGTCATCGGCTGCATGGTTGCGCGCGCGGGACAAGACAGGAAGGTCGTAGGTCGCGTCGTCCTAACCTGTGGGCCGTGTTGATAGGTAAACCTCACGCTCCACGCCCGACACGTTCACCCACTCCTCGCTTCTCCGTTCATTGCATCGCTCTAGTTCGTCTGTCTGCCGGTTCACTGCGTATGTAATTGTAGTATTAATACCACGAACATATCTACAGTTTCAGGAGTGAATAAAAAAAATTCGTTTTTGTTTACGCCTGATAGTATGGATATGTTCATGACGTTGCTAGTATGGGGCGCCAAGTGTCGCATGACTGATTTCGTTACGAAATCAAGTCTACAAAGTGATTTCGTTACGAAATCAACTACTGCGAGTGATTTCGTTACGAAATCAGCTACTGCGAGTGATTTCGTTACGAAATCACTGTGTAGACTTGATTTCGTTACAAAATCATTGATTTCGTAACGAAATCAGTCATGCGACACTTGGCGCCCCATATGTTAGTGGTGTGTTCGTGAGGTGATCACGCATTCGTGTGTGACCTTTCGGCTCGTAGATTTTTTGACGTTGTCTTTTGCTGATGATTTATTTAAACAAACGTCCCAAATAGTAATTAGCTATTGTATAACTTTTAAATATATGACATGTTGCATTGTTTCATAATCTACTCTGTCGGAGTTCATATATATAATACACGTTTTACACTCGAATAAATACCGAATCTATCAAGTTACATCGTCATGTGGCATAGTGTAATTTGATGAATTAATATAATTTTGAATTAATTTATTGTAATTAATAATTCTCTTGAAAGAGTTCCTCCGCTGCGATGCCAGTCCTCCGCGGCGATGCCAGGCCCTCCGCGGCAATGCCAGGCCCTCCGCGGCGATGCCAGGCCCTCCGCAGTGACGCTCGGTCCTTCGCCATGACGCCCGGTCTTCTGTGGCCGTCAGGCGCGTTCGCACAAGTCGGTGGTGGTAGGTTGGCCGCTCAGGGTAGTTCAAGGGACACAATCTCTCAGTTGGGTGCTCTTGGCTACACTGTTTGGCATTTAGGTGTTCTCAGGCACTCTGTTTGGCATTTAGGTGCTCTCAGGCACTCTCAGTCTGGCATTTACAGGTGCTGGAAGTACGTGTAAGTTCCAGTGGGCTCTAGGTGCATAAACATTTGATTCATGTGCGCCAGCAAAGCATTGCCAGATATAGCTCAGCTCTGAAGTGATCTCTAAAACGTAAAAGAGTGCATGCAAGCTCTGTCAGTCACCAGCGGGCAGGGTTCTAGGCCAAACTGAGAGTATCAGAGCTCAGAGCGCACCTAAATTTCATGTTGTGTCCCTTTAAGTGCATCCACAACAAGGATGACACAATTGTCTGCCCGTGATTGCTAGATTACATTCTTCCTGTTGTGATTCATTGATTGCTGGTGTCGCGTTCTTGATTTCCATCGGATTTCGGCGTAAACCTTCAAGTGTCGAATTATTGTATTTATCGCTGTATATTTCTTGCTATACTAGGCCTACTATGTTGTCTGTCATGTCTGTCGCACACATCTCTAGAGAGTAGCGGTGCAATTCTCGCACTGTTGTATCTCTAACGACAGGTTGCAGCTTGGACATGGGAGATGGTGATAATGCAACTGCGCTGCATCTTTCAAGCTGCCAGGGTCATGAAGATATCGTAGCTGTGCTGCTTAAGGCTGGAAGTAATCCAAGGGCAAAGACCTCTTACACGAGGTATAGTCAGCTGTTTATCGTCTGGTCTGCAAAAAGGGAGGAAATAATTCCTCAGGCACCGTTTTTGTCAGCACCCACCCGATTGCGCAGCACGTGCTAAAGTTATTTATAGTTTACGGCTCAAAATTAGGATTCTAGGACAACTACCGGTTACCCACTGGACAATTACCCACCGGACAATTACCCCCCGGACAATTACCCACCAGGACAATTACCCACCCGGACAATTACCCACCAGGACAATTACCCACCCGGACAATTACCCACCGAATAATCTGATATGAACAAACATCAGTAGTCCATCGGTTAAATATATTGAGGTGGCTCATAACTGCTTCACTACTAAAGATCTTAAGTTCAATAAAGAAATGTATGCATTTATCAGTAAAACTAAATACACACTAATTTTGCGTCATCCAGGACTAAAGTCATACGCCACTGACAATTACCCACACCCCCACACGACAATATACCGCACCCCGGACAACTTACCGCTACAGGACAATTACCCACCCCGCGGCACAATTACCTCAGCCACCGGACATTACCCACCAGACCGATTTACGCCACAGGAGACAAATTACCCACCAGGCACATTTACCACCAGACAAATTACCCACCTAGGACAACTACCTGCACGACAGCGATCAATGTACCCACTAGGACAAACTACCCGCCCGGACAATTACCCACCCGGGACAATTACCCACCAGGAACAATTACCCGCCACCCCCCGGACGATTACCCCCAAGCCTGCCCCCCCCACACACACCGTACAGTAATGAGATTCATCTTAACGAACCAACTTCATCGAGTTTCAAGTTTTCAACTTCAAACCATTCACTGATACCTGCCGATATTTTGACTTATTTGCGAGCATTTTCGATACCTCCGCGATTTTGGAAGTTCCATTATCGCAAGTATCCGGCCTTCGCACCTGCCGCATCAGCAAGCGGTGAGCGAAGCCAGAACAGCCACCAATCAGACACAGCATACATGTCGAGACATTTTCAGGGTCGCATAGGGTAACGCACGCATCACGTGCGCTACCGCACCAGCGTACGTTACGTGCACACAGCCACGCACAGCACGTGCAGCATGCCACGCACATGCGCGCACGTGTACGTAGCACACGCACAGCGCGCCCCGTGTACGTACACAAGCACGCGCGCCTCCGTGTACGTACACACGCACGCGCGCCGTGTTATCGTACACACGCACGCAAGCACGCACGGCAAGGTACGTACACACCGGCACGCAACGCACGTGTACGTGCACACGCACGTACTTGTACGTGCACACGCGGCACACGCACGCACATGCACAATGACCGCAGTGGCACAGCACGTGTACGTGCAGCACGCAGGACGATGCCAGCAGGCACCGACTACGCCGCACAGTGACATGCCGCACGCACGCGACGTGTACGTGACCACCACGCTGTTATGACGTACGCACGACGTCACACGGACGTGTAGTACACACGCACGCAGCACGTGTACGTGACACGGACACGCACACAACGCAGCACGGCACACCCACGCATCCGCTGCAAACGCACGCTGTACGTGCACACGACACGCAGCACACACGTGGCACATGCACGCACCAGCTACGCACGTGTACGTGCACACGCGCCGCACGCACGTGACGTGCACACACCACGCACCGCACGTGTAGCGCGTGCACTACGGACACTTGCACGCCCGCACGTGTATCGTACACACGCACGGCAACCCACGTGTAGCCAGCTGTCGCTGCCTTTCACGAGATGTTGAACGCAGATGCATACCAAGAGAAAATGAGGACCCACCTATCAACATCCCCCCGCAGCACTGCCACTGCTAGACAGAGCTAGTCCGTACCGGGAGGAGGGGGGGGATGGTCCGGCGATAGCCATCCATACTAAGCACCCGAGCCACAAAAGCCCACATTATTTACCGCAGAGCGCATCGATGCGCACGCACGAACCATACAGCACGACACACACATCACACACACACACACACACCACACACACCACCACACGACCAGCCACACACACACATGCCACACACACACAACAGCACACACACACCACAACCATACACACACCAGGCCAAGTTAGTCCGAAAAACTGCACACACACACACACACACACAACACACACACACACACACACCACCACACACACACACACACACGGCGGACACACACACACACAGGCCACCACACAACACACACACACACACACACACACACCACACAACACACAGAGCGCACACACAGCACACAATACAGCCAAATACATACACACAAAGTGCATCGCACGATGCACACACATACACCGCCACAAACGAACAAAGCACACACACACACACACCACACAAACACACGTACACTACATTTATACATGCATACCATACATGCACGCACGATGCCAAATTATTTGATACAACTGTAGTTTGGCACGTGCTCGTAGGTCATGTACAATTTGAAAATATTTAAGCCATTTCTGCCTTGCAATCTGATGGCATACTATGGCCATATTTCATGTCTGATCAACTAGTATCGTGTCCAACCCTAGACTCAACCGCTGCAAAGTTAGCGATTCAAAACAGCTTTTCATGACTTTTCAGAGAGTAGTACACAGTAGGTCTACTAATAGTATGAATGAACATGTATTAAAACAAACAGGTAAGAATTGGCAATTTCTCACAATTTCACGTGTTTTTGTATTTTGCAACGATACTTTTTGGCTATTTTTTTTTCTTGTTTTTTTGTGATTTTCATGGGGGGGATATTTGTACAAGGCCATCCCCTCCCTGCATTCAAGAGCGGGGGGGTGCATTCCCCCCCGGGCAATTTACAGACCCTCCTGGCACACACTGGAATCACAACAAACAGTTACATACACATAATCGTAGGCAATGGCCGAAGGAGCCAAGATCAATCTTGGGGATATCATACATTTCCGTCATTATAGGACGGGTGGAGGGGGCGGACTCCCTCCGCTAACGTCCCAATTAATCGAACGCCGCTTGTTCTCTGAAACATGGGTACGGCATTTCTGCTCTTTCCAGACATAACGTACATTATGTATTGGCAGCAGACAAAATTTACGGAAGGGGGGAAATTTCCGCCTTTATTGAGGTTTAGGACTGGGTAATTGTCCTGGTGGTCAATTGTCCTGGTGGGTAAAACTGTCGGCTGGTGGGTGAGATTGGTCCTGGTGGTAATTGGTCCTGGTCGGGTAATTGTCGCTGTGGCTAATTGTCCGGGTGGGTAATTGTCCG